CGTATAGACGACAGCAGACACAGCTTTTCGTCACAAACTGAAGGCTGGATCAAAGTCAACACCTGGAATATTTATAGATTACAGGGTGCAGCAGGAGATGAAAAAAAAGAAAAAGATCAACTGGCAGAAACTTTTAAAGAAATGACGGGTGAGCGTAGACTGGTTTTTAAGCTGTGTTTGAAGCACTGCTCTCCAAACACAGTTCTGCTGGAGGCCGATTCTCTTTAAAGCACAAAGACATCCGGCGAGCGTCACAACGCACCGGTAACCCTTCCAGAGGTGAAGGTTCATGTGTCCTGAAGGAAGTCATGGCTCTTGTTTCTTCGTGGTTGAAATGGCGAGCGTGTAAAGTTGATCAGAGGTGCTTTATTGTTGTTATTATCACCACAGGCCCTCATCTGTTTGACATGGAGAGCAGCAACGGCTGCAGGTAAAAGCATTAAAAGGTCACGAAGCAGATGGAGACGAGTCTCCAAAAAACTGGCCTAATTAGAAGCTGGACATTCCATCACCACGGCGTTTGTTAAACCACGCTTCACAGACATCTTTTCCCTTTTTAAATCTGCTTCTGTTTAGAATGAGCCCATTCGAAGTGAAACAAACCTAAAACCGCGTTCTGTTTTGTGTGGCATTTGTAAAGTTCACCGGCAACTCTCTTGACAGATGGATGGAAACAGAGCGTGGAGAAGAGCACTCAAGGGGTGGCAGTAAAAAGCAACATGTATTTGTGAAGGTAAGGGAGAGCATCAGGGAAGAAACAAGAGAGAGACACAGATTTAATGCTAGAGAGAGACCGGCTTCAACAAAGACACCCAGACAGACAGGATGCGATCGCAGGTCTTACTGTGTTGTGACACGAGTTACAAAGAAAACCTTCATTAGTATGAGCATTATTATATTATGAGGTCATTATTATCGCAGCAAAAGCTGTCATCTTTAACATATGTTGTTGTTTTACAGACAGGCTGTCGAATGAATAATTCACCTGTTCGGTCTTCCTGTATCTGCCTCCCGAGCTACTTTGTAAATTGTTTATCTTGTTGACTTCAACACATCGGTGTTCACTGTTTGTTATGGGATGATGTGTAAATTCAGCGCTAGGTTCAGAGATGAGGTTCAATGTACTTGGAGGCTTATACAAAAAAAATGACAAATGCGATCGGTATAAGACGGACCAAAGCCAATACGTGACGGAAGACAAATGCGGGTCTTTGTGGGAGAAAGAGCACGAGGAGAGAAAGCCGTACACACAAAGTGAGAAGAAAAAGGCAACAGAAAGAGACGCGCGGGGCTTTGTGTTTGGGGATCGCCGTGGAGGCACAGAGAGCGAGCAGTGGGCCGGCCGCGACCGGCACCGGGAGGACGAGGAACGCTGATCGTGTCCCCGAGGCAGGAGCAGTCTCCTCATTCAAGTCCGCCACACTGCGGAGACACATCGCTCCTGTCCTGGTAGGTCTGGGAGGTGATGCAGTAACAACAACTGAGGCTGCGAGATTAAACCAAGTGACTGAAAATGGGGAATCAGGCTGCTTGGTTCTTTCTTTTTTCAAACCAAGGAACTACAGGAGCGAGTTTTGATATTAAGCAGAAAAACGTTGAAAAAAAAAAAAAGGTTGGACTTTAACAATGTTTTCAGCCTTCCGACCGGCCGAGCGACTGGCACGTATATGAAACTACACAGAGAATAATTTAGGAGATGATGTGCTTCTACGAAGAACATGCAGCGGACCAAGACTGAACGTAGAAGCTGGATCGCAGCTTGTCTGTAATGGTCCTGCCACAGAAAAACAGAAGAAGGAAAAAAAAAAAACGTGGCAAAGAGAGGGAACGTCGGGGTGAACACACTGCGCCAAACATCTAAGGTGGGCGTCAAAAACCTGCTGTTTACCAGGGAAGACTAAATCAATTGCCCTTCCCACTGCGCCAAGAACTGCCTCTCACCGCAGCGGCGGGTCTGACGCGGTTCGCAGACCTGAAATCTGTGCAGGGCCGCAAAACTTTTTGACTGACAGGATCCTGGGGAGTTTTTTTCTCAGCGACATGCCGTTGCATGGCAGTCATGAAATATTAACATGCACTTGTCGTGTTTAATTTGTGCTGTTGGTACCGGAGTGGTGCACCTGTCACCTGTCACCTGCCCAGCGCCCCCCCATTTATAATGAAACTGATTGACGTTCAAGTCCATTCACACATCCCCATTTAGGTCAATAATATCTATATTAAAACAAAAAGCGACTCCACTTAATACTTTCTACTTTGTTAAATAACAACAGATCCCAGCACACAAACTGATTTCTTCCAGTAGTTTTGCCACAAATAAACGTATTTTTCTAATCGCCAAAAGCTCTGTGGTTAATTAAAGTAAACGACTGCTTTATCACTTGACTTTTCTCAGCTGAGAGGCGCTGCGTCCTGAGTGGATGCTGGCGGGTGGCGTCTGACAGCAGCAACAACAACAACAACACGTTAGAAACGTGTTAAGTTTAACAACAACACGTTATAAACAAACTGCACTTCTGGACCTCTTCAGACGAGCCCGCGGAGCGCGAGCCCGATGAGTGACGTCACTTGTACCAAACCGACAGGCTAGACGAATCAGTTCGTTACGTGTCGCGCCGGAACACGTCGCCCCACTACTCAAACACACACGGTGTTTAGCCCCAACATGCCAGGACGAAGGAACAGCGTGTAGTTAATTCGTAAAAACTAACTTTTAACAACGCTGTGACGCGTATATAAAACCAACCACGTGTAATTTATTCACAACTAACTAGTTCCGGTCAACTTTTCACAAGATTTCCATTCAAACTTTACTCAAAAACACAATGTGACACGATGTCACACTCCGTCTCTCACTGTGCTCTTTTGTGCGTGCGCTCCACCATTTCGATGGGAGCTTAACGTGTATTTTCATAAGAAATATGAGCATATTAGCGCAGATGAGACGCGTTACAGGGACCGAAGCGCAACCACAACAAGTTTGGAGCGGAGGGATACATTAGCATGTCAAACGCACAGTGTCAAAGAGTTGCTGCCTCAACACCGGGACTAGTTTACCTAACGTCAGCTAACGTCAAGCCGGTTGAATCAAAAAAACACTTTTTTTTTCTCCATTTAGCGTTAGTTAGTCTTGTTGGATAAACAACTTACTGTTGTAAAAGCTGCAACCGGCCCGATGCTCGCTGTCCGTCCGCTGACAGTCAACGTCACGCGTATTAAGACATGTTTGAAGGGAGAGAGAAACGTTACCTTGACGGTTGGAAGTTTCCGTTACTTTCTCCCGACGGTTCGTCGGCCTCCCCCGCCGGCCCGTTCTCGTCGTCCTCCACGGTGACGTCTGCTACGATGGCCGGGGACCGGACGTTCTCCAAGCCCCGCTCCATGGCTCTCGCACCATCTTCCTCCGAGGTGACGCCTGAAGCCCGGGCGAGGGACCGCGGCTCCCCCCCGATGGCTGAGCCCTGAGCTTGCGTGGTTCCGAATCCAGTGAGCACTTTCAGCAACAGCAGGAGCACCAGGGAAATGCTCACGTTTCCAAAGTGAAGCCCCCTTTCCATTTGTAAGACTGGCACATTAGTGAAGTATCAGATTTACATGCCACTGGTCTTGTAAATCTTAACGTAAAAAAAAGTTCAAAGTGAAAAAGAAACTGTGGAACTACAAAAACATCGTGGTGTCTTGCAAAAAACGCCCTTTCGAATCGGTTCTTTAAGTAAACATAAACAGCCACTGGGACACCATGTTATTCCCTTTATACCTGACCCAAGACATGCCTTGGTAACGCTAAGTCCCGCCTTGTTTCTACACTAGGATTGGACGGTCAAATCTCTACGTTCGTTAAAGTTTCATCCAGCCGTTCCTCATTGGGCCGTTTGATGTCAATCACGCACACTCGCACACTAAGCACAATGCGATTGCAACAGAGACCTGTCAGACAAGAAGGCGGGCACAGAATGTTCCAGCCCTCCAAACAGAGCGCCTTATTGGCTAATCGACGTTTTGTCAAACTGCGCATGCGCCCTGGTGGCTGGATGACAGATTGAGCACAGGGTGACGCAAAAAAACACCCGATGGCGGAATCCTCAAGCGGGTATGTGATTGGTGGCGAGTGTCGTCCTCTGTCCAATAAGAGAGACGTTCCCGTCCAGCGCCGACCCCATTGGTCGATTCTCACCCTCGCGCACTGAGCATCAGCCGATCATTGGATGTTTCAGCTGTCAATCAGGAGCAGTTGTCAGGACAGCCGACGGGAAAGCTTCAACGTGGCTTCAGCGCAGAGGTACATTTCCTGTTCCTGGTCACGAGATTTGGCTTCGCTTTTCGGATAAACAAACACGCAGGGCTGGGAGGTGATGCACAAGGTGTCATGGAAATATAAGATTTTAAAACGGAAATTTAAATAAAACCGCATGGCGTCTGCGCAGCTCTCAAACAAAACAACTAACGTTACTTTAAACACACACTGGCACTTGTAGCCGCAGATAGATATACCGGATACATTTACAAACTATGAATAAAGAGTTGAGGTTGGTACATAAATAAGGTCACTGAGCCCAGTCTGCTTGCAGCGGAACCAAAGCGCCCCCCGGCGGCCATGAGGGAGAACAGCAGCTTCACGTGTTCCGTCAACTCACATCTTTGGCTGCAAATTTGTTTTTGTTCCATTTTCTTTAATGGGTTAAACATAAAAGTATGCCCAATAAAATCTCCCTTGCGTTGACTGCAACAAACAATCACTTACATTGTCATTTGGATTAGGAGGCTTTCCCACATTGGAATATATAGTTCTTTTGTCTAACAGGACAGAGCAAATATTCATGTATGTAAACCTCTAACCAGTGAATGTGGAGCATTTCTGCATAAAAGATAGATCCTTATTCAAAAAGTTCATCAAACTAATTGATTTAAGAAGAACCATCCTTGTTCCATTACATAAAGTTATTAACAGAATGTCAAATAATAACAAATAATCAGGAACACAAAAGAAAAGGGAAGCATACTGTCTGTTGTCATGGTTTTGTATTGGTCTACAAATAGTACCGTTACAGCAAAGTGATAACCACAGTCAATTGGTAAAGAAAGTAATAAAGAGAAATGCTGGTGAATAACAAATACTTGTGTTGTACAAGTTCAACCGAGTCTGATACCACATCAAATCATCCGTTTGTTTTATAAGTGAACAACTAGACTTTAATAGAACACATTCAAACGTGCACGGCACTGCTTTCTTTTAAGACTTTGAATTCTTGAAACGATTAGAAGGGAAGATTCAGTGACAGGTGAGACGAGGTGAAACGCATCTCACATTTGTTTCAGAGCCTCAAAGATCCTTCTGGTTCCAGCAGCATGATGAAGGTATGTTGCTACGTGTGATGCGTCGGCACGTTCAACGCTCGGGTCACATCACCTCAAGTTAATGGCCACAGACGGCTTGTGTAGGGAAAAACATGTCGACTACAAAGTAACCGAAGAGGCACAAAAGCCGGCCAACGCGGCGCGTCATGCAGGAGGAAACGCACACATCCAGGGACTAGTTCAACTCGACAGAGCGACTCAACCCAAACGCTCCCCGCTCAGGACGTCGCGGTATGGCAACGGTTACCGTCATGTGATCAAATTCAACAGCCCAGGAGAGGGGGACACACACACACACACACACACACACAAAGCCTTAATGAATCTCATGTGACACAATGCACGCTATGTCCACACCCATCTAACCTCTGTGCTCATTAATAACACATTCATTTTGGTTTGTTTTTTCCGGTTTAAATGAGCATAATAATTTCATAAATGCATTTAATGAAAAGCGGGATTGATTGATTGATGTTGTAGCACACTTCACACATTACTTCACTTTTCTGCGTTCAGCACAGTGTGGGACAATAGTTTGGCTTGTGAGATTTTTATTGTAAATTTAAATTGCATCATTTCTCTTAAAAAATACTGCCAAGTATAATCTGAAGGCACTCCTTGGTTTCATTCACCACAGCACAGTCAAACCCGCCAGGACGGGACAACATTCCCAGTGAGACCGGGCAGCTAAACGGAAAATAAGAATAATCAGATGCACTTGACTTCGCTCATCAGGCACTTTGGAAACGCACGGTGGCGGAAGCACCAGCTGCAGGATGAGAAAACCCAAGCGATCCTCAGCAATGACTTGTTTGCAGATGTGTCAGAGGTTCCCACAGACGGCGCTTGTCCAGTCGTGAAGCTGTCATGAACACGGCACTTGTGAGTTCATTTGAGAAGAAGTGGCTCCAGGAGGTCCTCAGTTGACCCGGGGATCTCGGACCTGCACGCTGCCGTCCTCCATCCCGAAGTAAGCCCGCTCCGCCATGCCGACGAAGAGGCCCGTCTCCACCACGCCTGAAGAGGACACACACAGAAACCCCTTCCAAAACACATCCAACCATGGAGTCTGCCACTACTCTGTCCCACTAGCCTCCCACACTACTGCAGGAGGTTCTTAAAGGCTGCGTCCTCTCACTGTAACGACTCGGCTTCCCTCAGTACAATTTGCAAACATGCGTTCGTGGTCTTAATCTCTAGTTTCAACTCTTCCTCCACACAGCGTGAATGGTGGCCCACAGGGTATGCTGTGATTGACAGGTCTCTACGTCACGCCTCCGCAGTCCAAATGTGCTCACTGACGTTCATCTTTTGCAAAAACAACAACAACAACAACATGTGGACGCCGTGATCCAAGATGGCCGCCCGCAGCCGCACCGGCCTTAATAACCGAGAGGCGGCTCCTCACCTGGAATCATCTTGATCGCCGTGTTGACCTCCTTCCAGTTGTCAGCGCGCTCAAACTTCCAGTCCAGGATGAAGTTGCTGTTGTCAGTGACCACGGGACCCTGAGGAGGCAGAGCGACACAGGCGCTGGTCACATGACCCGGCCTCTGCTGAGCTTTAAAAGACGCCTAATCTGAGACCCAGAGGAAGTGTGTGTCGACACCGACCACCCGACTGAAATACCGGGACGGGGGCACCGCAGTGTGAAAAACAAACCTCTGGCATGTTAAGAAACACGTCTGTGATCATCACAACTTCCTGTTTACTCAACAGCAGAAAAGAGAAGAACACTCACTGCCTTGCTGACGGCCATGCGCAGGTTGGCCTCCCCCCCGAAGCGCTTGGCTATCGTCCTGGAGACGGGGACGTGCGCCATGGGGATCACCTCGATGGGGACGCCCTTCCTCCACTGCTGGCCCAGAGCCTTCGAGTCCTTCCTGAGAGAGGAGGACGACGAGGGTGACAAACCGAACCCGCGCACGCGGCACTTTTACGAGGAGCTCAACCGGCAAGCGCCAACCTGTAGTCGGCGATGACGACGAAGTGCTTCGCGCAGCCGGCCACGATCTTCTCCTGCGTCAGGCAGCCGCTGTGAGACGGGGGGGGAGGAGCCACCATGAGACACAAGGCGGGGGCCGAGGCGACGGCGCCGTCAGCGTCGAACACTACTCACCCTCCGCCTTTTATCAGCGTGAGGTCGGCGTCCACTTCGTCCGCTCCGTCGATCGCCACGTCCAGCTGCGTGGGAGCGAAGGAAAAGTCGTTACAGCGGACGCGCCTCCGTTCGTAACACGGTACACGTCGACGCGCTCATCGTACCTCTGGGTGCCGGTCCAGGTCCGACAGCGTGAGGCCGTGCTGCAGAATCAGCTGACGGGCCTGTGGGGGGGGTTCATTTAGTTCAAGCCCATTTGTCAAAAACATGGCGACGTGTATGATTGATGCGAGAGTCCTTCTGAATGACGGTTTCATTCATATGCAGAAGAAGAAGCGAAGGCCGTGTGTGTGTGAGTGTGTGTGTGTGTGTGTGTGTGTGTGTGTGTGTGTGTGTGTGTGTGTGTGTGTGTGTGTGTGGAAATGAAGGCAAAGCGTTGCAGCGCACGCCGTTGCCAAATGTCGAGTGCACGGCATTAAGCCACCGGGACGACAAACGTGAGACAAACGCCACGCTGGTCCACAAGTAAGACGAAGCATCTCACACCAACCTGGAAGGAGGTCGGCACGCACACGACGTTGAGTTTCTCCTGACGCACTCGCTCAGCTGGAATAAACAACGTGCACAAAGTTTAGAGACGAGGCTCAGAGAGCTGGGGGAAGCAGACCGATCTATGTTGTTAGGTTACGTTTACCTTTTGCTAACTGTGGTGTTAAACTAAATGCTGCTGTATTTGTAACTGGTACTTGTGGAGCCTAGAAACACATGCTTACACAATGCAATGATAAGAAGCAGTGAACTTTGACCTCTAATGAATCACCCGGTAAAGGTCACTTGTAGATTGCAGATTGTGGCTCCACTCACCTAATCTGTCCACAGCGTAGACGATGGTTGATCCGCTGCCAACTCCAACCACCTGGTTGTTCTACGGGAAGAGAGAACAAACCGATGCACAATGAAGCTGCCGCAGCAATGGACACCATGAGAGGATCAGTAGTTTCTGTGTTCTTATTGATTTAGCACACAGGTATTTTTGCAGTTTTAACTAAGTTAGTTTATCACGCAATTCCTATCATTGTTTTGTCCACTTTCTGTAGCGGACATGTCATGAACCAAACAGTCATAAATCCCCCCCGATCGCAGTGACATTATAAAACCTGTAGCTTTAATTATAAGATTAAAGGTGGATTACGTCATGCATAAAACACACACATGTGACTCCCGCACCACGTGTTAGCTCCTGTGTTTGTCCAGCTAACACACATGATGTAACATACGTCTGGTATATTCGGTTCTTAATGCTGGAAAAAGTTAGCCCACTATCCCGGGACAGGCACGCATAACACCGGGCTAACGCCACACCAAAAACCGCGCGAGTCAACTTTGGATAACGGTGATAAGCTAGCATGCTAGGCTAACGCGACGTCCACATCTCTGTTTACGCCAGCTCGGTTTTTTAGCATGCAGCGCCGCGGCCCGTGGCGGAAGCTAACGACCCCAAACTGCGTGTAAACTTCGTTCTCGGTGACACGCGAGGACGCCCGAGCCGACGGGGACACCCCGGTTCCGGTTCTCGGTACCTGGACGTGGTTGTCCACGGCGGCGTAAGCGGCCAGTTTCTTCGCCTCTTCCGCCATGTTGTCAGCGGCTCCGTGCGTCCGCCTGCGCGATGCCGAAGAGAGAACTCGAGACGCGGGTTTGAGGAAGGAGACGCACCGCCGGAGCCCCATGGGCAGACAGACAGGCAGACAGACAGGCAGGCAGACAGACAGGCAGGCAGGCAAGACAAGACAGACAGACAGACAAGCGGACTGGCAGACAAGACAAAACAGAAAGACAGGCAGGCAGACAGGCAGGTAGGTAGACAGGCAGACAAGACAGGACAGACAGGCAGACAAGACAGAAAGACAGACAGACAAGGCAGGTAGACAGGAAGACAAGACAGACAGACAAGACAGAAAGACAGGCAGACAAGACAGACAGGCAGACAGACAAGACAAGGCAGGCAGACAAGACAAAGACAGGCAGACACGGCAGGCAGACAAGGCAGGCAGACAGGCAGGTAGACAGGAAGACAAGACAGACAGACAGGCAGGTAGACAGAAAGACAGACAGACATGGCAGGCAGACAAGGCAGGCAGACAGGAAGACAAGACAGAAAGACAGGCAGGCGGACAGGCAGACAAGACAGAAAGACAGGCAGGCAGACAGACAAGACAAGGTAGGCAGACAAGACAGAAAGACAGGCAGGCAGACAAGACAGAAGGACAGACAGACAGACAGGCAGGCAGACAGACAAATCAGACAGGTAGACAGACAAGACAGAAAGACAGATCAGACAGGCAGGCACATTATATAGACACATATATATATATATATGTGTCTATATAATGTGCCTATATATATATATATATATATATATATATATATATATATATGTGTGCAATAAAAATTAATGTCAAAACTATGAGAGAAAAAGACCAAATTGCTATTAATGTAAATTAAAAGTACCATAACGCGCCTTCTCACTGATTGAACTGAGGGTGCAGCTGAACAGCTCCTCCTGAGGGGGGCGCCAGAGGAGAGCCGTGGGGTCACCACAGTTTAAGAGGTTCATCCCGTGGGGACCAAGACTAGTCAGCGATCTGCTCAACCTTCACGACAATCCCCAGTGTGAGAGGGACATATTGGCCTGCGGGTGGTGCAGGATGGGAAATGCAGGGTTCTGTCCTCCAGAGGACTCGTCCGCTCTGTGGCGTCGTCGCAGTAAACCTGCCAGCTGGATTCCGATAGTTTTCTTGTGCACAACAAAGGGGGCCGTCGTCATTTCAGCTTTGGGGGAGAGCTGTTGGATTCACTTTGTCACACCTTTGTCAATCGTGTGTGTTTAGTGGTAGAATAAATAGTTTTTGCCCTCTATACAGTTCATCCTGTGTTCACGGGGAACTAAAACTATACTTACGTAAAACATACATTCTCATTCAATGTGAAAGCCAAACAAAGAATTGTGTAATTAATTAGGCCTTTTTAATATGTTTGTTGTAGTCAACACAAAGACACACATTTACATCACTACTACTTTTTATTTGGCAAACAGCTTGAGATAGTCTCTCTTTTTCAGTGTACAGTATATATATATACTATAATAAATCAACACATTCTGTTTTATAACCATTTTTTTCTCATTTTTACATATTACAGCTTACAAATATAGCTGATCTTTTTGACAAAAATTACAGATTCTGTTTGACACCTAAATTATTATGCTATATAAAAATCCACACCTTACATTCATGATTAGAAAAAGTAGGCTATATGAAATCAGGACAAGGAAAGAATAAAGAAACACCACAGTACGCAATTTTCAAACAAATCCAAATACGAGGGGGGGGGCAAGGTTCCACAAACGGAGTCTCATGTCTTTCACTCTGAATCCAATGTTAAATCCTCTGAGAGAAGTTTGCAGCTACTCCGACGACCATCAGCACAGAGAAGATCTCGAGGAACCACCTCGCCGTGGATCACAACGGATACCCGATCAGAACTAAACTGCGCGTGGAAAACTACATATCACCTCACACCTTCACCATCTCGCTCCTCCCTCCACCGGCAAGCCTCAATCCAGGGATTATGCAAACGCCGCCGAGCTCTCCTTTCATGCCTCGCTATCTCGGCGGGAGACATCTGCTCAAAATTGGACATCTTCCTCACATCTGTTAAGACGAACAGAGCCGCACGAGGGAAGCCGCCGTTTGGGTGAAGCGGGTCGGACGCCGCGCTGGCGAGAACACGTCTTTTAATTTTTCATTGTGCAGTAATTGAATCAGCACAGAGCGTATTTTTTCTTTCCGTGTGTGTTTGTTTCGTACCGCGAGGATGGACGGACAAGATTGTGTCTTACAAATTGCAGCAGGCCCGTCTTGGCCGTCGCTGGGGACACCCGGATCTCTCCAGTGGAGTTTTTATACACAGTATTGCTGAATATCGAGCGTTGCATTCGGTTTGTGGAGTTACTGTGTGAGCGGCTACTTTTTCTGTGTGCGGTTTGTGTAGCAAACGCGTCCAACGGCGTCACATTGTATCAAAAACCCAGACGAGTCATGCTGCAAGCAAAACCAGCGCTCGCTTGGAAACGTTACTTTTTTTGTCTTTTTGTGTTAGATAACAAGATAATCCCTCCGGATTTGTGGATTATTACATGACGACGTTTGCAAGCATTTATCTAATCATAACATCTAAATAGAAAACAAGACCAGATTATTCTAAAACTCATCGCTGAACACATGTTCACAAAAAAATAAAGGAATTTTGTTGAATCCAAAGCTCACAGATATATATATTTTTAATGTATTTTTGTTTTTTCGTTACGTTTACCTGACTTTCGTCTTTACGAGCAATGCACCAGAAGGTGTTGGACGTTGACATGAAGCTGGAAGGAAGGTTGATGTGAGACGAGACGCTCAGAATACAGGAATCAGTAACCGTGGAACGTGAAGGAGGATCACAGCTCATTTAGCACAAAGAGATAAAACTGGCGTCATCATAAATAAATATTATATTTAACCTAGAATATTTTGTATAGTTCCATAATATACTCTAATATATTCATAATTTGATACAGATTTCACTATATGTTTTGGTTTGTGCTGTCGTTCTAAATAAGTACATACGCACCTGTGGAATGTCTTTTACATTATTTCGGCTGAGAGCTTAAATTTCACCTTAAAAAGAGCCGGCAGGAAGCTGGATGAAAGACAGGTTAGTGATGAGCCTGTGACGCACACACACACACACACACTCCTCTTCTTCACGGACGCTGACCCTTGGAATGACTTTGGGACTAAATATGCACGTGTCCTTCACAGAAAAGGGGAGTCACAGCTAAAAGGCGAAGGAATGTAAAGGTTTCGACACCGCACGATGACACAGTTACAAAAAAAGGTACAGGTGACGTCGCGGCGGCTTGAACGCGGGATTCCTAGCAGGTAATTCCCGTGGTACTCAGCACAGGGAAATGAAGTAAAACGCGACGTGAGTGCAAAGTGTCAAAGAGAAGAGACACACCTGAAGCACTTATCTTTAGCTCAACACAGCAGGGACACGGTAAGATGCTACAATAAAACGTAAAGGTGTGTGTGTGTGGGGGGGGGGTCATGGAGGTGAAACCAGGAGTTCTGGAGGCTCCTGGGTAGTTTTTCGGGAGAAGGTGCAGCCTGTCCACGTTTACGCACAGCTCTCACGTTTCCATCTCTTCACCTGCAAGAAAGTTCTCATCAGATACAAAAAGCAACACAGTCAGTTGATCCCCCTTTTTTGCTTCCGTACGGTTTTGCATTGAAAAATATTTCTCTTTTTTTCCGCCCCTCCTCTCTTCATTTAAATTCCAGACGTCTTTTTGCAGATCCAGAGCGCGTCTCCATCTGTAGCTACATGTGTTGGGCGTCCATTATGTCCAAGTATTTGGCCTCAATGATGTGAGGGAGCACGTTGTTCCTGAACACAGAGCAGACAGAGTCGACGTCAGGCAACGGGGAGGAAAACAGAAGCCCACACAAGTGTCATCAGATACAAGGTTACACTGGACTGCTGCGCGCCGCCACGTCGCTACCGGACCAGCTGATGGTGGCGCGAGGGGCGGAGTCACCAGGTCTCAAGGCCACATTTAAGAAAAGGAGCTAAAAGATTACAGGGAAGTAACAAGTCTTTTAGCTTTTTTTTCCTGATTGGTTTTCTTGTGTGTTTCTAAAAATGACGCTGATTCTATTCATGACATCACGTGGTGTCACTTTGATCGCCGCGTGACATCACTGCTGCTGTATTATCTGCTATTTGCACCGAACGTCTGCGTGTCAGTGTATTTAAATGGATTCATGCGCCACACGGAGACTGCAAAGGTGTAGTAAATTATTCTGCGTTCATAGTGCAGCGCCGAGCAGCCGACCCGCAGCACGCGCAGCATCCGGCTGAAACAACGTTGTTGTAACAAAAACGTGTAATTGTACGACATTATAATAAAAACTACGGTTGAAGGCCTCGTTCCCGAGAGCAGGAACATATGCGCCTGTGGGAGGAGGCGGCGGTCGGTCGTACCTGATGGGAATGAGCATGACCATGAGCAGAGGGAAGATCATCTTCATGTACGGTATCGGGTACATGCCGAACGTGCAGAGGATCAGCAGCTGCGTCATCTGCAGGAAGGTGAAGAAGTGGATCTTCCTCTGGGGCACTTTGCGGATGTAGTGGGTGGGCGGGTAAGACGTCTGCAGGGGGGGCGAGAGGATCAGGGGCCGATTAAAAACACAAGAGCGGCCCTTTCTCCTCACAGGGAGGACGGAGGGACGTGGACGGCCCACCTCTTCGCATCGTGGACGGCTTTGAGCTTTCGGGGGATGTTGTCTCACGGGCTCTATTTATAGCGCGAGGGGAGGGGGGGGCAGGAGACGAGCTGCTGGTATTATTTTAAAACCGGCACTCGATGAGACTTTCATGTAAAAATACACCGAGAAAAACAAACTCATCTCCTGCGACTGATCTGGTGTCAGAAACGAACCTTTGTAAGGAGCCGAGTTGATCAATCAGTCCCACGCGTCTCTGCCAAGGCAACGCTTTCTCTTTTGACAGTTGCCTCTCGCTGCCATTTGGAGGCGCCAGTGTTTGGGGGGGGTCGAGTTTAGTGGTTAAAGCTCACAAAGGAGAATTCCTCTTTTATATTTCAATCCATCGGATTGATCACGGTAAGAAGGTTCAGCAGCAGAAGTAGTTCATACGTATATATAAATATATATATAAAGGATCATCATCAGCTGGCTCATCCGTCTTAACTCACCACAACCTTCCCACCCGGAATCCACAGTGGATTAAAATTAACACAAAACTTCAAATGTGCAAATATAATTTGAGTGGCGTCGGCACCGAGTCAAACGTTTGATCTGCAGAGCAGTGGACATATGGTCACACACACACACACACACACACACACACTTTCTCACCTGCTCCTTGAGGAGGAGGGCCATGCGGTCGCACATCTGGTTCCCGTCGATGGAGGTGAGGGCGATGTAGAGGAAGAGGCCGTACAGGACGGGTTTGGGGATCCACTGCAGCGGCAGAGGAAGCAGCAGCACCGACACGCCGATGAAGATGTTGGCGGTCAGAGACGTCAGCCGGGTCTCCTTCACCTGGACGATGCTGAGGAGACGCACGCCAGGACGCACGCACACACACACACACACACACATGAACGAGCACACAATGGTTTCGTACAATAGACAACAGACAACATTTCTATTGCAGGGTTTTCTTATCAGGGTTCTCGCACATTTTTTATTTGGGACATTCTCAGTTCTGCAGGACCAAATTTCTTAAGAGGGTGAAGGAAATGTATCATTCATATTGTGGACAAAGCGCAGCTTATTGTGTAACCCCCCAATAAATAGACGGACGGTGTTATTGATGACAACATGTAAAAGTAGATCTTCCCTTGTTGGATGTCTTCTATTGAGTGAGATGGAAACGTCCGTCCTGACAAGCTGCAAAAGATAAACATAAGTGGTTCCCAACCTGGGGGCCGAGACCCACAGAGGGGCCAGGAGATAATGCGGTGAGGTCGCAGGATAATTAGAGCGATAGAAGAAAAAACGATTTGTTTCCTAAACCCTCTTATTTTTTTGACCTGTAACTCTTCAAGCTTCTGAAGAATATTCAAATTAAAACAATCTAGGAAGGAAAATGTGCCGCACAAAACGCTTTGAGGCCGCGTCTCCTGAACGGAGGGACATCTGTCCATGTGGGACCTGCAGACACAACGTGGACACCTTTAGAACGCAGATACAACTTTGCCTCTGTGTCGTCTTCATTTAGTTTGTACTCTTTTCTTCAGAAATATTTATTTGTTGGAATTCTCTCTGAAGGGACTTTCCTGTTTGAAAAGTTGTTTTTTTACAGTTGGATCATTTTTTTTAATGCAGCGTTTCTTTAGTAGTTTCTGTACATAGGCAACTCTTACTTTAAGCAGTTATTGTATAAATCCTGCTTTATTCATTATCATTAGAGCAAGTTGCCCTTGAAACGTGCCACAGAAGTCAGTGGACTTACTTTTGAAATGTTTTGCCACTGTCGAATGTTCCCGGAGATCCAGCAAATTCCGAATATAAATTCCGGGTCATACGCCCAGAGACCGAATTGTACATTCTTCTACGATCAATACCTGTAATTAGATCTCCTGCTCTTACGGACGATTGCCCGCCACGCCCTCGTTATCAGAACACATGCGCTAACCGTGACGTTGTAATCGTCCCCTGAAAGCTCCGCCTCCTCTTCCACCCGGAGAGAACCGGCTTAGTTACGCGGCAACCATGCAATCAGGAGAAGAAGAGCCGCATCCTGCAACACCAAATCACCAGGCGCCACCTGCGGGGGAGGACGACCTTTGTTCGGGGCACCTGATTAGCGGCGGCGGCGAAAGGGCGGGGGGACTCACGTCTCGTAGAGGTGCCCCCCCTCCACGCGCTGCTCCACGAAGGCCAGCTGGCGCACGTGGAGGGTGGAGTGCGGGAAGGCGGCGTGCATCCAGGGCAACCCCATCACCGACATCAGTATGTTGATGAGCCCCGAGAGCATGAGGTCCCAGTGGTACGCCGTGCCCTTCAGCAGCCTGGGTGGGGGGGGGGGGGGGAGACAAGCACAAGCTCCAGTTCATCACGGCGCGCACGCGGTCACACACAAAAGGGCGGCGCTCTCCGGAGGGTCAGCGGCGCCCTTTAACGCGACCCGGGTGAACCCGTCTGTACGTTACTCGTTCAAAGTAAAGGTTAATGCGGCGCGAAGGCGCCGGCGCGTCTCTTGCGGCGGCGGTTCGGTAACGGGACGTCTCAGACCAGCCGCGAATCTCACTCTGCGGCTCGAGTGTCCTCAGAAACGATGATGATGATGATGATGAAGAAGAAGAAGTGTGGCCATGTGTCCCTCCGATGCGCCCTTGAGCGTGACATTGAACCCAAAACGCCGTACGTCACTCCGGGTAAGTAACTAGTTGGGTCATCAATGAACGCACGCGGTTCAACCGTGTTCGTTTCCATGGTGACCGATAAAAAACAGTCAGAATGATTCATTTTCAGACACAAAAAGAGCAAACAAAAGAACGCTGAAGATGAATCAAAGAGGAAACCGAAATAGAAACGTCTCATTTCTATTGTTAGTGAGTGTCCATGGAAGACGGACTGTTGTTTAAATATATATATATAAATAAATAAATATATATTTATAGGAAGTTATAGTTGTGTGGATTAAAACAATGTCAGTTTTGAGCGGATGGAGACTCAAACTTTTCTTTGGGTTCAGCAGCCTTCTTCTTGCCTTCCAGTCCTCGTTTGGAAAAGACATTTAGATCCAATTAACTTCCACCCAACACATGCGGATGATACGGGATGATTGTCCCTGTTGGGCCCGTTGACGGCGGAGGCTTTCATAAGTCGTCTCTGCGATGCAGACGGGGTAAAAAGCTCGGCGTGGCGCTTCGGCTCTGAGGCTCCTTCAAAGCTCCCTGACTGTGACAGTTTGACTCAGATGTCAAGTTTCTGGCTCAGCTCACTTTCCCTCCCTAACAGACCGGCAAAGATCCGGACCCAGCAGAACCCGAAGGGCCTTGGTGGCTTTTTGAGGGAGGTCAACGCGCCGGAATCCCTCCCGCTTACACCGTCCCCGATTCCCGCTGGACGAGCGTCTTTGGGTACCTGTTCTCCGGCGCGTTGGTCAGCGAGACCACAATGTTCTGGTCGATGAAGATGAGGAGCGCCAGGAGGAAGCCGAGGCCCATGGCGCTGACGACGTTCATGGCCGACAGCCGCCCGAACGGAGCCACCTTGAAGACGGGCCGGTCGTGGACTTTAAAGACCGGAACTGTCCGCAGAAGAAGAGAGAGAAACAAAACCAGCTGAGGCCTCCAGCTCGTCACCGACGGGGCCAAACAATGCTGCAAAGGTAAATTCAGGGGGCATTGTCGTTTTCAAAGGGGTCCCTGGACCCTTCGCTTAATATTATGATATTTGAATATAAATAGTTTCTTTGGGACCCGAGGGTCTGCCCTCCACAAACATGCCCACTTTATTATAATGCAATGCAGAATGAATGAATGTGTTATTTCCGTCTATTCTAAAATGCTGTATTTGCTTTGTATTTCTGCACACTCGGGTCCTAAACAGTCTCAGTCAATTTTATGGAAAAGGGGAAATGCTGCCTAATTTTATTCATGTGTGATGAGATCAGAAACGTAACGAGACCATTTAGCACGTATGAAATGACACCTCCACAATGACCACATCCTCGAGGAACCAGCGGGTCATTGTACGTAAAACTAAGGACTCGCCAAATAACGGGGTCCTATTGAGCACGAGGGTTTGCTCACCCATGACCGACGTGGGTCTGTGAGGGTCTCCGACGGTTAATATAATCTTTAGCTGCAGTCCATGAGCTTAATTCCCCAGTGAGACTCGTTGGGTGACTGTAGTCCAGGAGCCGCCTGATCACTTCTCCACTTGAGCAAAGTCATCGACGTCCATTTTAAAAAGAGAAGAAGAAGAGAAGAACCGCTTCCTCGTGGAGCTTTTCTCCAAATATGGAGGATCTCATTCGGCCGCTCAAACGCTGCTGAATTAAGTGCGGTTGGTTAAATTTAAGAAGTAATAACAATACAATAATGGGCCTATTATCTTATGACTTATTGTCTCCGGAGGTGAAGGAACAGAAAATTGGCCGGTCACTTAAATTTGAATTGACTTGAGGGCTTTGGCGCTCGTCTCCGTTTCCCGGCCCGACCCCTGGAGAACGGCCGCCGCCGTGGCAACCCGCGAAGGGAGACTCGACATGACGCGAGACAGTAGAGGGTGAAAAGCGAGGGGATCCCACGTGTTCTTGATTAAGGAACATAAAAAGCAGACTGTAGAGGCAGCGCGGAGGCCCGGCGGTTCCCCCGTCGGCCCGCGCAGTAAACAAGCTCCGACTTTGAGCCCCTCGGCGGGTTTGGACTCCAGTCCGAGTCCCCGAAGTGCGAATACAGCGGCGCGCTGGGACTAAAAGACTAAAAGACGGCTCAACCTCAAGCAGCTCTGTACGAATATCTTCCCTCTTTTCTAATCAAAGGGTCTGTGCTTTCTTTAAAGTGGGTTACAGTAACACCTTCAGACACTGAACCACAGGCGTGTTTTTGCAACAAACCCACTTCATGAAAGTTGGAATGAATGCACACATGCAGAAGTTCTCTTCATGTTTGTCCTCGTTAGCGGCCCAGAAACAGCGCTGATGATCAGAGGAGCGCAGAGGCGTCGCGGCGGAGGACGAAAGGTCCGTTTCGTTTATTCAGTTATAAGTTGACAATTGCGGCTTTGCTAATGTTTTAAAATGGCATGAACTGTCGCGGTGGAGTGCGAGAGCTCATCGCTTCTTCCTTCAAGGTCAAAGAAATAGTCCCCGATGGTCAAATGTAACACTTTCTTCTTCACATGGCAGCAAAACCAGCTGAATCCCACAAACCGTGATACTCGTTAGTAATTAACCCGACGGTGAGATTCGTTTCCCACATGAAGAGACGCTGAAACGTGGAGAAGCACCACGTGATACTAACGCTCGATGTCGCTGAAGACGTAGGAGCCGATGAAGGAGAAGAGGAGCACCGAGATGGGCAGGGCGCAGTCCGACAGCACCTCCCTCACTTTGGCATGCAGGAACGGACTGAGAGGGGGGGGGGGGGGGAAAGGGGGGAGAGAGGGGGGAGAGAGAGAGGAATAGAACAGAATACAATTACCGTGGACGGGACAAGGACAATGGCTGCAATCCTGACACTGCCTAAGTACCCCGGCCCGCCTGTTGCTTACACAATTGAATCCAGCTTTGAGGGTAGATTCGATTAGCGGGGGGGGCAATCAGAGGAGGAATATTGATGCTTATTAAATCACCGGCCGGGACAGGCGCTTGGACGGGAGCGGGAGGTTCGTTAAGAGCCCGTCTGGAAAAGTTCCGTCCCCCCCCCAGACGGAACTTTGAGGACTCGAGAAGCACGTACCTCCTCTTGAACTGGTAGAGGGTGTAGCCCATCCACAGGGTGCCGAGCATCAGCAGCAGGCAGAGGACGGGCCTCTCTCGCGTGCACTGGATGACGGAGCCGGGGAGGGCGCTGGCGGCGAACGCGGCCGCCGCCTCGCTCCCGTTTCCCCTGAGCAGGTCTGCGGCGGCAGCGGCGGCGACGGAGGCGGTGGCGGCGGGGGCGGGGAAGGCGCCCGCGCTGGCGTTGGCCAGCGTCGGCGCTTGGTAGTACCTGTAGAAGACTGAGGTCACATGTGGGGAGTCAAGCCGGGGAACGTGTGCGGAGGAGGAACAGAAACACGGCGGCGGCGTGCGTCAGCGAAATGAGCTTGGTGATGAATCCCAACGGGCAGAGACCGGCGTGGAGGCGTGACACCACACCAGAGGGTAAGCGGGGACGGGCGGTGTGCAGAAACCCGAATCAGAGCCTCGATAAAAAAATACATCTCTGTAAGACTCGTTGTTTTTCTCAAAGTCTCTTTGGACTTGAAGGACCTTTGTTATTTACCGACGGTACGAAAGCGCGGCCTCATCGGAGCCTGGTCTGTGAGAACGCCACGCGAGCAGAAACCCCCTTCCCAGCCGCCGCCGCCGCCGCCGCCGCCGCCTCTCCATCACAGCGGCGGGAAGTGAGGAGGCAAGCGGCGCAGGAGAGGAGACGCGTTCACCGAAGGCCGCCGCCGCCGCTAAACATTTTGGATGCAAAGTGTCAACAAAGCGCCGCGGGTTAATGTTATGGTGATGGCGTGCCAGCTCGCAGCGTATTTTACAAATGGTTTCGGAAAATTGAACGACTGCAGCCGGCAATCTGCGGAGAAACGGGCGCCGGAAATAAATGACATTCTGCCCTCGTCGTCTCGTTTTTTTGGGGGGGGAATTCATTTGTGTAAAATATTTATGGTATGCTAAGATGAGGTGCGTTTCATTTAGTAAACAGAGTCTCCCTCAGCCGGCTGCTGACCCACTGGAGGAACTAATGAGGAGTTTATTCATTAAATGTTTCATCTTCTCTTCACGGGAATTAACTATCTGGAAATACAATCAATTATTCTCAACAATACAGTCAGTTCTTCAATAAGAATTTAAAAAACGTTTCCCCTGAACAGCAGTTTTTAATTAAACAGACTGATCGGGTCAAAGGTCGTGGTTGGAGGACGGCCATAGTAACTAGTGAGCCCAGGTTTGTGTGAGTCGACCGGTCGGGATCTTTGAGGCTCGTGATCGGTCAGCGACGAGGACCGACGGGTTTCCTCACTTTTGAAAGTTCCTTTCACTGCGTCCACCACGAACGCGATGGAGATGAAGAGCGCGATGACCTCCTCGGTCGACCTGGAGGAACACAGGAAACGTCACTGCGGCGATAAAACACGCGTTTTATACAATATCTGAAGAACAAGTGTGAGAAAAATGAAGGAACTGTTCTTATAATTTGTACAACTGTGTTTAAAATGTAATAAATGGTGTCTACAAAAACTATGTAAAGAGTTGAAAGTAGGTTTGGAATAAGTTAACCTATAAACTGCTGATCAATATGAAACATTCGTTTTGCTATTTTCTTGTGTGTGATTTCAGGAAATGTGACTTTAGATTAATCAAACCGAATTAAACCGTAACACGACGTGAATAAAAGTACATTCATTTAAACAATTCAACAATAGCTATAAATAAATGACATAGAATAAGCGCCTCGCGGTTTCAATCCCTTCGACAAACAGTTTATTTTATCTCATTTATTTCAACGCCTGATCAAAATGTCTTCAACTCCGGATTTTATGGACATTTGTGTGATAAATAGCATTTTTTTGAGGTAAGAGCGACGTTTCACCACCCAATTCTAATCAGTCCATCGTCTAAGTCCCTCCCTTGTGTTTGTGAGATATAATCCAAGGGAATAAAGCACACAATAAACTATATTTACACTATATGTGGTTGGTTTGGTGTGAAAAGGGGAGCAGAAGGAAAGACCCTGAATGTCACACGCAATGTTCGTCACCTCTTGAAGAGCTTCATGAGCAGGCTGACGTTGAAGATGCCAGCGAGGATGAGGAAGAGGCAGTTCCACAGGCCGATGCAGGCGTAGAAGGCCGGGAAGTCCAGGTTGTAGTCGTCGCAGATCCCTCGAATCACTGCGGAGTCCAGAGACGGGTCAACGAGAAGAAGCATCCAAAGGGAACAGAGAAACGGAACGTGGCGCAGAAACAAGCGGCGCGCTGCCCGATCGATGACGTTAGAATAAAAAACACAGCAGCTCAATAAAAACGGCTTTACCCTGAAAAAACACGTGCGGTAAGAACAGGAGATTGACGAGGAAAGAAACATTTGATTGAAACATGAAGAGGACAAAAGGAGTTACAATGGATTTGTTAAAAACACAACGATTTCGTTGTAATCTCGAGCACATTTGTGCGCAGACGAGTTACAGCAAAACAAGCCTTTAAATCCCCCCCGAGAGGCGCTCAGCACGACTCTGACCCGTTCACTTCAAAGAGCGCCAACTCCACCGCTCCGCTATTAAAACCACATCTCGCCATCGGGGTTCGCCGCCGGCGGCCGAGGGCGAGGGCCTACCGCTGATGAAGATGGCGAGGGGCGCGGTGGTCAGAGGGATGACGAGGGGAGAGCCGGCGAACAGCGAGTAGATGACCCCGCCGATGCTCTGGCCGATGATTGTCTTCCGGACATCTGGACAGAGAGGACACACACACACACACACACACACACAGGAAGTCCGGACGTGGACTAAATCAGCGGGCGCCGCGGCTCGTCTGGCGGGCGGGAAGTTGATCATTTGTAATTATTGTAAACAGAATAAAATAATCTAAAGATATTAAATAACTAAATATAACTTATTGTCTTGTTTTAATACTTAATTTAAACACAGATTATCAATTATTAACAGATGAAGTAACTTGTGACTAAAAGCTCGTATCTGAAATTGAAAAAGCAGGTGGAGTGCTGCGCACGCACCTATCTCGCCGCGCGTGCTCTCGTCGTTGAGGGAGCCGAACGCGATGGCGGGGAGGAGGATGGCGATGTAGAGGAAGATGGCCGTGGTCATGTACTTCAGCAGCGTTTTGTTACTGCCGACGATACCTGGGGGGGGAGGAGAGACACAAACACGTGCCACTCCACAACCACGAACACAGTCGCCGTTTGCTTCGTCCTCCGCGCCAACCGCCATGTTGGGAGAGCGGCCGACGCCGTTTATCACAGAGACGAGATCGCTCGCTTTAGGAATCAAACTCTTATTGGGCTCTAATCTCAGGAGAAAACTGTGAGACAGAATGAGATGTCTTCCGGAACATCAAGGGCGGCCGAGTTAATTGATGTGGTTTAATTAAGCCTCCAAATCAATTAAAAACTAAATAAACAGGCGAAAAAACAAACACTCACGCGCGCTTGTTTACTCGCCTCCTTCGGAAAATCCCGATTCTCAAAAGGTGGAGCAGAAACACTTTCACACATTCAGGGCAAGAGAACGACGCCATGAGTCAATGAAACACCGAGGGGGGGCGGGACGGGACGTGGGGGGACGGGACGGGGGGGACATATGGGAGCAGCGAGTGAGACAAACCACAATGTGACACAGATGGAGCACAGATGTGTCCGAGGCAAAGGGTGACAGACGGACGGGCGGCCTACCATCCGTGAAGTCGGACGGGTAGAACGGCAGCCGGCGGCGAAAGTCCTCGTAGATCCCGCGGCCGGCCTTCAGGAAGTCTTTGCACTGCGGAGAGGAGGGAGGAGGTTAGACCGGAGGGGACGGCGCCCCCTGCTGGGGGGGGGCACCTGCAGCCCTCTGGGGCTTTTCTATTCCTCTTAAAGAAGTCGTTTGTACTACTACTAACTACTACTGGCAAAGTTTCTTTAACACGTTTGTTGTTGTTTAGCAAGTGAAATAAACAGCGAGAAGCTGAGACCTGATATTATATCTCTGGTCGATAGAACAAACATTTTAACTCCCAATAGCTGTAAATGAAATAAAAGACCTGAAACAATAATAACTGTTCATGCTAACGAGTGGAAAACCGACACACACACTAATTGAGGGAATAAATAAAATCGGTAATTGGAGACGGCATGGTTTGCTTTGACTGATCCACTGAGGGAATCACAAGTTCTTTTATTAAGCTTACATTTCGCTCTCGGGCATTTCGCTTTATTTATTACGGTGACCTCCAAAAACTGCAAGAGCACAGTTCGCCCGAAGCTGCGTCCAGCTCATAAACTCTGCTGTGCGCCGCGACACAGCTGGATTAGAAATGACCCACTTGGTGGTTCAGCTAAGACACCGGTGATTTCACAGGGGGGGCTTTCTGAAAGCTGATTTGAATCAAATTTAATGAGATGGTCCTGAAAAAAAGCCGCAATCCGAGGGCCCCGCTTCCATGTACATTTAATAAAGATACAGGGAACGATCACGTAAGGACGGAGAGGGATTGAAGCTTTGGTGCATTTTTAGAGACGTCGAGGGGGGAGAGACGCCCGATTCAAAGAGTGCGTCTCCACGGAGACCAGCGTCCAGATGCTGAGGAGTGACTGCGTAGTTCTGACCGAGCTGATTAAGCAAATTGACTAATTGCTCTACGTTTCATTTTATTTTTGAATCACGAAATTGACGGGAACGAGTGACTAGGGTGTGTGTGTGTGTGTGTGTGTGTGCGTGTATGTGTGTGTGTGTGTCAGTGTGTTTACATGATGGTATAATTGGAGTCTTTGCTTAGTGGGACTATGCTGTCTTTCAGGGGGAGGTGCTATTATCCCAATATACATGGCAGTGAATAAATCGAATCATTGGCGGAAAGCACGTCATATCCGGTACGATAGGTGGCGCTGTTTGCATTACATTACATTACATCCATTTCCGCTTGACCGCTTCACCACTACCAACAACCAACAACAACAACAACATTAGGAGAAAGATGCCGAGCGGAGAGCAAGGTGAAGCTACGTCCCTCTACTATCTGTGCATGATGCTAACAGGAGCACAGCGAATGCGAATGGCGCTATTGGCTGATTTGATAACGGAGAGAAGACGCCGTCGGGATCTCAAGCATGCGCAAAGACGCAAAGTCCAGTTCCTCATCCGATTCACCGTCACATCCCCCAATATTGGATCTTTCAACCGCAGGTGTTTTTCCGGGGGTTTTTGTCCAGTACATATCACCCCCCAGCGTGTTATCCAAAGGTTTTTCCCAGAACGGCATAATATTATTTCACTCCGATGACACAACTTTTTAAAATCCATTTGAAGGAAATAAACAGAACATAGTTCCAGAGAGCGTGATATCCCAGACCAAGTCCCAGAACGGCTAGGGGGGGGGGGGGGGGGGCACCTCTGACAGGACGGTGAGAGGTGTGAGGTCATTTGCCCATTGAGGAGGTCTGGCAGGAGTTGATGCTGATGGATTAGGGGGGAGAGAAAAGATGGAGGAGTCAAGGCAGCCGAGCGAGGGGGTCGGGGAGCTTTGATCAGTAGTTCTAAAGCTCAACTCGGCCAACAGCCATGTCACCGGCCCTTTGGCGGCCACAGTTCTCACTGTGGGGGGTCGACGTTGGGCTGAGAGGGCAAGTGTTCGTCCGCGACTGAAGTCCTTCTAACAAGGAACCTGTGCTCACCTGCGATGAAGAGCGTCCAGCACGTCTACCTGGGGACACGTCTATCTGGGGACACGTCTACCTGCGGACAAGTCTACCTGGGGACAAGTCTACCTGGGGACACGCCTACCTGGGGACACGCCTACCTGGGGACACGTCTACCTGGGGACACGCCTACCTGTGGAAACATCTACCTGGAGACACGTATACCTGGGGACGCGTCTACCTGGGCACGCGTCTAGCTGGCGACACGTCTACCTGGAGACATGTCTACCTGGGGACACGTCTACCTGCGGACATGTCGACCTGGGGACACGTCTACCTGGGGACAAGCCTACCTGGGGACACGTCTACCTGTGGACACGTATACCTGGGGACACGCCTACCTGGGGACACGTCTACCTGCGGACACGTCGACCTGGGGACACGTCTATCTGGGGACATGTCTACCTGGGGACACGTCTACCTGCGGACATGTCGACCTGGGGACACGTCTACCTGGGGACAAGCCTACCTGGGGACACGTCTACCTGTGGACACGTATACCTGGGGACACGCCTACCTGGGGACACGTCTACCTGCGGACACGTCGACCTGGGGACACGTCTATCTGGGGACACGTCTACCTGGGGACACGTCTACCTGGGGACACGCGGACGGGACACGTTGTATCCTCTTGACGCACTAAAAGCCTAAAACAGAGATTTGTACAATAGGCTTGCGGCGCGCAAACACACAGACGGCGCCGCCCACCTTGAGGGGCTTGTGACTGCGGGGGTCGGTCTCCTCCTTCCCCAGAACCGTGGGCGGCTGGTTGGTCGCCCTCAGCTGGTGCATCTGGAACACCAGCGCCTCCTTGAACTCCACCTGCGTCTTGGTCTCCAGCAGCTTCTGCCTGAAGGAGATGTCGGAGAAGAGGGTGGCGAACGTCCTGCCCAGCTCCATGGCCGTCTTGGTGCTTTTCTGTGGGAGAGGGAGATGGAATCGGGGGGGGCATTAACAGAATAAAGACATCCTTTCAGATCAAAATACAACTCTGATGCACAACGAAGATCGAAATCTGCTCTGGCTGTGAAGGAGTAATGTTCACATTACTCCCTCAGAGGTGGCAGGTTGGGAGCTGGGTGTTTTGGGGGGCTTTTGTCCGTAATCCCACATCTGTCACAAGTCAGAGAGTGATGGTAATAATGTCCTGGGGGGCCGGGAGACGTGGTGCCAGCGAAGCCTCGTAAGCCAGGTGGTGTTGATACCAACATAGCCGGGCTCAACGCGTACAGCGGCAGCTGCAGCAAACAGAACAATTTAAGCCTTTAAGCTTTTTCACATTGGTAACTGAATTTGAACCAGAGCTGAGAGGAAGGATCTGGAATAATCTAAAGGCTCTTCTTCAGAGCGATGGACCTTTAGTCAGAGCATCGGTTTAGGAGACAGCTTCTGTAAGAATGTGTGCTTCAGCATCATCAGGGGCTTTTCGGAGTTAGGATGGCGGGATTCGCTCTCCAGTTCAGACAGGATACACAATCCCCTCCCCCGGGGTGCGGACCTCCAGGGATGGGTTTACCCAGGAGAACCGGGACCAGTCCTTCCGTTGAATCAGCCCAAGACACTGATGAATGGGAAGAAATTGCACCTGCGGGAGGCACTAAAGGAAACGTCCAGAATTCGTCTTACTGGTTTCAAGGTCACTAGTTTTGATTACCCCTGGGGGGAATTGGGGAATTGGGGGAATTGGGGGAGTAGAAGTGAGTAACGTTCAGCTGGTCCGACGAGCAGAAGGAGTTTATTTCAGGGCACCAGAACAAAGACGCGCTTTCAGGTTTGTGTTTAGTGTTAAATGAGAAACAGAGCATTATTTGACAAACATGGAAACCAAAGGAATTCCTGCTATCATTTTCATCAAAGATCTCTTAGATTAACGTCTCCGTGGTCGTGAGGGCGCCCTCCAGGCCTGGAGGGGGGGGGGGGGGTGCACATTGGGGAAAGAGCCACAAAGAATCATGGGAAAAAAGGAGAAACCGAAGAAACAAACACGACGCAGCGCCGCTGATTGCCAGAGTCGGCGTGCGAGGGCTTTGAGGGACGACCCCCACGTGAAGAAGTTGCCCTTCATCTCCGGCAGAGAGCGGGTCTGCGGATTGGAGGCTTGCATCAGGAGAGAGTCCGACAATCAGTGCGTCTGTGGGCGCGGGACGAGGCGGAGGAGGGCGGGAGGGTTGAGTGGCTCGATGGGGAGTGGAAGGAGTTCATGTTTTGAGGAGCAGAAGGGTTCGTGAGGCACGAAGGTTCAGCCAACGGGACACTTGTGCTCACAGCGCACGCCGTGAGAGCTTCGGATTGAATTCAGTTCAACAGGCGTTTGGCTGCCTGGCAGCGATATCAGCCGCACTTCAGCTATTTTTAGTCAATTGGAATGTAAAAATTGGGCAATTATGACTAATTCGTTTTTAAGTAATTAATGTTGCATGTAATCAGAAGGCAGTTTGGGTTTTCTTCTTAGTTTTCATTTTACTTTATCTTAACATTCTGTAATTATTGGCCTCTTTCAGCGAGAGGCACATCGGGGCTTTAAAATCTGTTCAAACCAATCCGGCCACTTCGGGCTGAAATCAAAAACTGCCGAACTAATTATACGTTCCCCCCCCCCAAAGTAGCTGAAAGCAGAGCGGAGGAAATGCAAAGGATCAATTAGTTGTGCGATGGCAGCGGGACGCTCACATTGTTCACATGCTGAGTTGGACTTCAAAGCAAATACGAGGGAAAGATTGGGAGCACATTGCCAGCGATTACTGAACAAATAAATCCCACATATGTGGGTTTTTTTTCCCCCCTCGGAGGGTGCAGGGGGGGCAGTTACCATTTTGAGGGGGGCCAGGATCAGGATGACGTAGCGGACCTCGCAGCAGTTCTCCCCCCAGTTCTGTGGCCTCTCCAGGCGGGAGATGCACACGTGGCTACCTGCTGGAGATACTTCACGTTGCAGCTGGAGCAGAGAGACACGAGGAGGAGGAGTTATGAACGTCAGCGCCTCACCTCACCAGCAGCACCCTTCACCTCCATGTATTAACCTCTCCCTCCCTCCCTCCCTCCATCCATCTCTCCCTCCCTCTACCCCTCCCTCCATCCATCTCTCCCTCCCTCCACCCCTCCCTCCATCCATCTCTCCCCCCATCCATCCCTCCATCCATCTCTCCCTCCATCCCTCCCTCCATCCCTCCCTCCACCCCTCCCTCCATCTCTCCCTCCATCCCTCCCTCCATCCCTCCATCCATCTCTCCCTCCCTCCATCCCTCCCTCCATCCATCCCTCTCTCCCTCCCTCCACCCCTCCCTCCATCCATCACTCCCTCCCTCCATCCATCCCTCCATCCATCTCTCCCTCCCTCCATCCCTCCCTCCACCCCTCCCTCCATCCATCCCTCCATCCATCCATCCCTCCCTCTCTCCCTCCCTCCATCCTCCATCCATCCCTCACTCCATCCCTCCATCCCTGCCTCCCTCCCTCCATCCATCCATCCCTCCCTCCCTCCATCCATCCCTCCCCCCATCCATCCATCCCTCCCTCCCTCCATCCATCCCTCCATCCCTCCTCCTATCCATCCATCCCTCCTCCATCCATCCCTCCCACCATCCATCCCTCACTCCATCCCTCACTCCATCCCTCCCTCCCTCCCTCCATCCATCCCTCCCCCCATCCATCCATCCCTCTCTCCCTCCCTCCATCCATCCCTCCATCCCTCACTCCATCCATCCCTCCATCCCTCCCTGCCTCCCAGACGCACTCACACACAAATTCCTCCAGTTCAAGAAAGCTGGACTAAAGTTTATTGCATACAAATAACAATAATAATATCAATAATACAACATAGCTGTTGTATCACATTAACACTTTGTAGCTGTCAAATTAAACCAATTACCCATAATCAAATCCTTACCAGTTCTTTGAGAGGCTACAACGCGTTCATATCTGATAATTAAATTTAAAAAAATCAACGACCAATTAACACAATTGTTGATGAAAGAGTCTGTCGATGAAAAATGGACTAATTGTTCCAACGAACACACAAGCACACTACGACTTACAGGATGCAGAGCCAGGACTGCTGGTACTGGATCCCAGTGGCGGTGGCGGTGACCCCCTGGATGGTCTCTGACAGCAGGTGGACTGGAGGGCAAAGGTCACAGGTCAAACACAGGCACGCTGAGATGGACCTCAGGTCCACTTTGAGACATTTATACACCTGGGACGATTTTAAAATGAGACCTGTCTCCTAAAATGTTCACGTCTGCAGCCTTATCTGTGTGTGTGTGTGTGTCTGTGTGTCCAGGCGAAGCCCGTCGCCTGCTAACACCACACAGACCACGACAACGTCCGTCTCACACCGGGAAGCACCGGCGCCCGTGTTCTCGGATGAAAGCGAACACGTTTCATTACGCTGCCGTGTTTACGCAGCAGAAAGCGTGAGACGCGGCCCCCCCAGGGACGGAGACGGCACCAGCTCGCTGCTTCCTATTAGGAGGAATCTCCGCTCCCAATTGAATAATTGTGTTTTGGGGGGTTATTCTATCCCAAAACCCCTCCGTGAGATTTCGCCGCGCACCAGCTCGGAACGTTGTGAGAATTACAGGGTGGAAATGTTGACGATCATTTCCATATGACTGTAATTCACCCCCCCCCCCCCCCCCCCCCCTCCCGGTGGCGTCCCCCTTTCTTTTCTGTCTGTCCTTCCCTCCATCACTCTCCCTTTCTCTCTCTGCCACGCCGTCTCATCAATAAAGTATCCTTCATCCATGCCAGAAAATGATGGGCGTCGCCATGACAACAGTATCACAGTGCTCAAGAAGTGAGGAAGGGAGAATCAGAGAGAGGAGAGAGAGAGAGAGAGAGAGAGAGAGAGAGAAAGCACGATGGTGAGAGAGGCGGGAGGAGAAGAAGGAACGAGGGAGAAAAATAAAAAGGAGAGAGACGGGAAGAGAGAACAAGGGGGAGGAGACATGCAGAGAGGAAGAACTGCAAACAGAAACCGGAGCAAAGGGGGAAAAACAAAATCATAAAAAAACAAGGAACGTGACACACAAGAAGGAAAAGGCGATGAAAAGCAGAGCGGGAGGGAGACGGCAGGGAGGGAGGGGACACAGAAGTAGAGGAGACGGGATGCGGTTCAATTAAGAGCAGTAAGCCTGACAGCCATGCAAGAATATAAAAAACACCCAATTTCCCACTGACGTCAGGTAAGAGAGGAGCGGAGAGACGCAATCAGACAAAAGAAAGATTCAAGGATCAGCAGAGGGGGGAAAGAAGACGGAGAGGAAGGAGACAGTCGTAGGAAGGAAGCGAAGATGGTCAAAAACCAACACGGCCGCTCCATCGTGGAGATGTTAACGCCTTCGGCTCACAACCACGTTTCTTTTGTGCCACTTGTCTGCTTTCTTTTAATTGCATATGTTCCTATCACGTGTGAAAAGCGTTTAGTTCAATAGTTTAACTCACTAAAATATCTCCATAATTAAAGTGTGTGTACTGAAGGATTTCACTTCTTCTGCTGGTGCATCCTGCATCCCGGTACCAGAGTGGAGGACTATAAACACTCAGCATCTCCTGATGAGAGGTCATTCCCACCTCCTCCGGCACGCCGGCTGCCGAGCAGAACTGATTGAGTCTTCACTTCAACCTCCGGCACCCCAATCTCCTGTGCAAACCCCGCGTGGGACATCTTACATCAGCAGGCGAGGGGGGCGAAACCCGCCTCGGATGTTAAGTGGAGATGAGGCGCGCGTTGCCGATGCCATCAGGTGGGAGACTAATTAAGACGCGCACATTCGGTACTCGTCAAGATACATGGAGATTTCTGCACCGTTTCGTCAGCTTTTGGAACGCAAACACCGCACACACACACACACACACACACACACACACACACACACACACAGAGGGGTAAAAGAAAAAGGGAGATCACAAATGCTCACACGCTGCATATCGTATGTGACAAACTTCAATGGAAAGTGATGAGAACATCGGAGGAAGGCGAGGCTGGATTGGCCCCTTTGATCTGTCCTGAATTCTTTTAGCTGCATTATTCACACGTTTCGGTCGGAATGAGGGGGGGGGGGGAGAACCGATTGCCATTTCTGCAAATCATGCGGGGATAATCCAGTCCGTCACCAAACAAGAGAGACGAATGAATCGATGCGCTTTGAGACCGTCATGTAACAAACAGCGGCGTTGCGGTTTCCTTCGGGCTGACGCGCCGGTTCGACATCCAACGGGGAGAAAAAAACACACATTCGCGGTTTCCTCTGCGCCGCGTGAAAGGGGACGTCTTACATTTGGCCCCGAGGTGACTTAAATAAAGCAAACGAATCTCATTCGGGGCCTTGAAGATGAACCGCGATCGCAAACCATTGGTGGACCCGCCAGGGAACGCACGCACAAACACACACACACACACACACACACACACACACACAAAGGGAAGTGATTGCTTTGCTTCAAAGCGCGCATTGTGGAGGGCACTTTGAAGAAGGTGATTAAAATACAGAAAGGATCCGTACGGCAGATGAAACACTTACTGTATACGAGGAGCCCATGCAGCACACGTGTGATGTCACAGGGCAATGGGGGGGGGGGGGCACTAGAACTGGGTCAATGAGGGGAACCTGGTTATTTAGAAAGCGCGTCAGTTCTAATCCTCTACGCACTCACACAAAGAAACACTTTTCATTAAAAGGGAAATAAACCAGCCGGCCTACATGGAAATAATATCAAAGTGAAACCGCTGCGTGCACAACGAGCACTTTTCAATCATATAAATCTCCAGAACACGCCAGGGGGCGGATCTCCCTGCACGGCGCCGGCCTCTCCTACGCCGCCACTCCATTCGACGGGGGAGAAGCGCTGACGTCGCCGGGCGGAGATGCATCGTATGTGTGACGCGGCGTCGGTAATCGTTTGATGGCTCGATGGATTGACCCAGTCCCGAGTGTGAGGGGGGGGGGGCACACAAGCAGCACGCTGATTGGGGGGGGGGGAGTGATGGTACAGAAACACGCCCCTGATTTTCGCCCTGTGGGCGGGCGCTGCCGACATTTTTTCATCCAATTAGCTTAACGTCGTCCAAGAAAAAAGAAACTTTGAGACTTGTCTGCCTGGGGAGAAGAAGAGAAACCAAGAGGAGAAAGGTCACCTTGTCAGCGGGCGAGCAGAAAGACACAAACAGGCGCTAAAGACAAAGACACTCTGTGGTTAACCGGCACGCACATAAATATCTCTGCTTCATTTTCTGCGCTCCCTTTTCACCTCATGCATATTAAATATCATGTTCCTGAGAAAATACCTCAATGTCTGGCCTCCGTCGGGCATGAGAGGATCTCTTCTTGATTACCGTCTACAGGCTATTACCAAAAATCGGATGTTATCGGCGACAGCGGCGACGTTGTCCGCGAGTGCGGAGAAACCCCAAAGACGTCGATGAAGAGATCAGGATGAGGAGAGGATTCAGTACGGCCACCCGTATAATCCCCTTAAAGAGCTGAATTATGGCTTCCATTTAGTATTCCGATCATTCCCGCAGAACGGTCACAGAGGGATTGCACGGTGAAAAGAGAAATGTTCTCCAACAGAGAAGGCACAGTCGGTCGATTGAGAAAAACACCGTTGAAGCCGCTGGGTCGTGTGCAGGATGATTGCTCCTGTGTGGAAGTCGCATGTACCTGCAGGAAAGGTGCTGTTAGCAAACCGGGGACGCGTACTGAGATCGGGTGGAAAAGCTTCTGTCATTATTATAATTCACTTTTAACTCATCGGCATCCGGCTGGTTTTCTTGTCGCATTTGAGGAATAAAGCAAAAAGCGGCGTCGGCGGGATCGATGGAAGGTGACAGGAAAGAAGGTCAAACCGCATCGAGGGGAAGAGAAGAAGAACACAGCGACGCAGAACATCAGTACAGAGACACCGACGGGTTCTGAGGGCCGAGTATTATTGCTCTTAATGAGTAGACGATGGTTAAAGTTTTTAGAGAAGGGGCTGAAGGATCATCAGCATCGATGCATTGCATCAACTGTGTGTGCGCCTCTGAATCCCAGGACAAAAGCCCCCCCCCTCAAAAAAAAGAGAAGCGAGCCCAAGTTGGCTCCTCTGCAGGACTAATTATCTCCTTGGGCTTTTCATCTTTTCTCATTTGTGTAATTCTGCGCTGTAATCTGGCCCCGGCCTCTTTATCGCACGGCCGTACGTCCCCCCCCGCACGCCGCCGCCGCCGCACGCACGCACGCCGCAGATACGGCAGAAATTAATACCTGAAGAGATGTGCGCCGCCGATAACATACTTACGTGCAGTGTGAATGTATTCCCCCACCAAGAGCCTTTGCCCCCCTCCCTCACCCGCCACACTCCCCCACCCCTCACGAGTGTCTCTCGTGTCGGTGTTCTCCATTTTGATTCATGGATCCTCGGAGTGAAGGGGTTTCATCGCAAAGCGGCACGGCAGCATCTCAACGTGAGAAGCTCGTCTTTAGAAGCGTTTCTTTTCAATCACACAATTAAACGAATCGCAGGTGATTGAAATCACGAACTGATTGAATAAGAGACGTCCATCGTGATATCGTGCCGTCCTCAGAATCTGCTTATTCTGTAAGTTACCACCCTGCAACACGCCTTGGAGATATTATTTAAAAGCTGCCTGTTTCAAGCTGCAACCCTTTGTCGTCCATGTTTGCTGCATAGTCGTGGAATTGTTACATCATCCTCTGTGCGCTTAATTATCCACGAATTCTCTATTCCCCTGTTGCTGCAGCTCATGCATTTCCCCAGAGTGACAACTCCGGTTTCTGCACAAACCCTGACCTTGTTTTTGTGAGTCAATTAATAACTTTGATGAGCGTGCGCATGTGCTGACTGTAGGGATGTACCGATACCACTCAGACCAGTACAAGTTCTTACGTTTAAGGTACAGCAGCGAGTACTGGTACTAGTACTTGTCAGGTGGCAACTCGTCTTTTGTCTTTAGCAGTAGCAACCTCCCCGGTACTCTTAAAACTTAACAATACTTTTTATTCGGTCAATGATGGACAGACCACAAAGCAGGGGATGATTCAGGGCAGGACTGCGTTGATTGACAGGTCACTGCTAAAGCCGTCCTCCGCTGTCTTGACTTCTATTCATTGGTCGCAAAGAGCCAAGATGGCGACGACCGTAATCCAAGATGGCTCCAATCACTAATACAATTATTTTCCTGTATTTTTAGAAAACTCCTGAGTGGTCCGATTGATCTCCAGACGTTCCGACCGGCGCAGGAAGTGTCTTTTTTTTTTTGTCCCGACAGCCACAGAGACGACAGGGACGAGCGCTCTTCTGCCGCCTGTGAGTGGCGTGTTCGGGGGGGGGGCAGTCGAGTGGCTTGCAGAGAGTCTCAAGTGAGTGATCGATGACAGAAGTCAATTATCACCTCGCCGATCCGCCAGATCTTCGCCGCCCACCTCTGACCGACCATCAACGCCGCCAGACCAGCCGTTAGCTCCCTGCGCCCTCACAGGGGGGCAGCACCCCCCCTCTACCGTCTTCATCTTTAAGCCTTCGACATTTAACAGGCCAAATTAGGATTTTCTTCAATTCTGTGCGAGGTTAGAAATAAATAATTACTTTTGCCAATGCGGCGTCGGGCGCAGCTCAGGAGGAGAGCGAGGCTTCGACAATGGCGGATTTCTGCTGCTCCAATGAGCCGAGGAGCATCGCCTCGAACCGAGAGGCTTTGCCGCTCTGCCAAAAGGAGCGGATCATAGGATCCGGCTTATACCTAACAAACAGATATCAGCATAATAAAACGCTCTATTAATCACATGAACAAACCCCTCTGTAAGAAGCTTCAGAGCAGAGATGGAACAGGAAGGGTTGGTGGCTGAAGAAAAGTAATGTAATATAATGTAATGCAATGTGATGTGATGCAATGTAATGTATTGTGATGTAATGTGGTGTAATTAATGTGAGGTATTGTGATGTGGTGTAATGTAATGTGGTATAATGTGATGTAATGTATTGTGATGTAATGTAATGTATTGTGATGATGTGATGTAATGTGGTATAATGTGATGTAATGTAATGTATTGTGATGTAATGTAATGTGGTGTAATGTAATGTGGTATAATGTGATGTGGTGGAATGTGATGTAATGTAATGTATTGTATGTAATGTGATGTATTGTATGTAATGTGATGTCATGCTATATATTGTGATGTAATGTGATGTATTGTATGTAATGTGATGTATTGCTATATATTGTGATGTAATGTGATGTATTGCTATGTAATGTGATGTAATGTATTGTATGTAATGTGATGTATTGCGATGTAATGTAATGTCATGTTATGTATTGTGATGTAATGTCATGTAGGAGCTGCAGAAGAGATTTATATCACAGACAACAACCTTCAGAGATTCAGACACCACAGGACAAAATAAAATATTAATGAAATATAAATCCCCATGAGACTTCCCCCGTTGGATACTAACGTTAAGACTATCATTGTCTGAAGTGTTATTTCTAAATATGAAAATGAGCCTTCAAGTAATAAATTACAAATAAAACTACTAAAATAAAAAGTAAAACACCTAATTTTTTTCTTTTTTGTAGTCTGAAATAAAACATGAAGTCAAATAGCAATAGAATAGCATCTAACAATTCAATCAATTTACCAGTGCAGAAATAAAAGAACTTTACCTTAAAATAAACAAAATTGGCGTTTAATAAAAAAGTGTTTGCCCTTAAATTATTTAACTCATTTAAGAATTTTGTGAACAAGAAAAAGTTGAAAACCTGCTTTGTTGAATCGATACATTTTCTTCTCTTCTAAATAAATGTTGAACTACCAGTTGAGTTGTGATTATCCGCCGCGTCGTCATGCTTCTCTCGAGCCGTAACGTGTCAGGTGACCGCGGGGACGTCCTCCGGGGGAACCTTTGATGTCTGCACATGTTTCGGCACAAGCCGCCTCTATTTGTGTCCGGCCCGAGAGAAGCTGAGGGGAGGAGGGGGGGTGTGTGGTGGCTTTGGGCCTCGAAAGCTTCTTGAACTGTTCTCGAGTCACTCTGACAACTCTGCTCCCGAGCCGCAGGTGAAGCTATTTATTTTGGGGGGGGGGGGTGCAGGTGTCGATGCATGTGCAGAAGTCAGATGCTTCCAGGCCTGTTTGACACGTGCACGCTGGCGATTCTCGCCGCTTACCGTTGACCTCCTGGGCTCCCGCGTCGGTGAAGAGCAAGCTCATCACCTCCTCGAAGTTGCAGCTGGGCTCGGAGGAGTTGCTGTCCTGGCCCACGTGGTGCAGCATCCTCTTGAGGACGTCGTCCAGGGAGGCGGCGGTCTCGTCCAGCAGGATGGTGGCCCTCCCCAGGAAGCCGTCCAGGTCCCGGTGAGCCCGGATCTCCTCCTCAAAGTTCATCAGCTTCACATACTGCGTGGAAGAGAAATAGGAAATAGGACGTCAAAATGCTTCTGCTATCTATTTCTGCAGAATTGGGCCTGAGGGATGAACATTATTTTGCTGTTTGAATGTTTCTTTGGTTTGGACTATTAAGACTTTTTAATACTCCCCGCATGCTAAAGAGTTAATAAGGCCGTGATGTCTCTAATGAAGAGTTTGGGAAATGAAGACTGCCTGAGAAGCTAACTCATTTTTTATGGTTAACCATAAACTGTATTTGCAACAATGTGCCTTTTTGTATGTTTCTTCCTTCTTGACCAGATCCGCATTGCTGAAGAGATTTGTATCCCGAAGGTTGAATACAAAAATAAAAAACAGTCTTAACTGTTTTTTAGAATTTCAATAAAGCCTTATTTTAAGCCTAAATTGGTTGACCATAACTAGAATCAGGATGTCCATAAACTAATTCAATTGAGGGCATAAAAACCTTTCAGTCCTGTAAGAGGATTTCTTCCCGATCCGATGAACAAATTCCATAAGTGGACGCAGCATCAGGGGCCAGATATTGTGCTTTTTTGACACAGACTTATGTCGTGCGATCCAGCAGGTTTAGAGAAGGTGAATCCACAGGACCACATGGGCACAGCCAGAAAAAGAAGTATTTATATAACAAGCCACTCACAGATTGGGTGTGAAAGAGCCCCAAAGCCGTGACCTTAAAGTGTCCCCCCGGCTCGGAGCCTCACACCGTCACGTTTTTTAAATAGCAGCACACAAAACAGATGCTCCCCCCCCCGAAAGCTCATCAAGATTTCACCAGCGGTGTCTGAGGATCCCCAGAGAGACGGACGAATGGGCCGGGAGAGGAACGCGGCTCGATTAAGAGCCCGGACACCCGCCGGTGCTCCGTCTCATTGATCCGGAGATTGACAGAAGTTGTGCAGAAGAGTGCGTTCCCCGCTGTTCTTTTCCTGCTCTCAGATCGGTCCGTGTCTACAAGCTACGTGTGCACCGAGCTCTATTAATACGTTCCACTTGTTTGTGCCGATGTGTCAGGTTCGGGCTTCGGTTCTGCTTCGGGTCAAGTCTTTCAAAAAAAAAAAAAGGTGTAAATTGCTTAAAAAATGACTCTGTGTTATTTCAAGAAGTGTTCCTGGGCCGTGCACAGTGCTGCCGGCCACACTGCGTGAGCATCGGGGGAAATCTTTAAAACCAGAGGAGCGCGAGAAGCACGCAGATGCAGACGGAACCATCTCGAAATGAATTCTAAATACGGACCACAGCAAAGCAATAAAGCCCACGACTAAATTGGAGGACGGAAGGTTAAGAAAAAACAAAACAACAACAACAACAAAAAACCTTGGGAGAGCACCAGCGAGCAGAACGGGCGGATTAGGGTATTAGAGAAGAAGCCGGCAAGCTGTTGTGAGGAACACGGCACATGGAACGTCTGGCCGGGTTTGCAGCGACCACATCGTGCTCTCGGTCAACCACATATTTAATGAAGGATATCAATCCTCCAAAGTGTGTGTCGGTGGTCGGTGAGGCAACGCGACCACGTGTCGTCTGGTTGTGCGTTATGAATTATGATAATCGCCCCCAAATCCCGATTGATCTAATTCATCGTATTTATTTCAGCGCGGCCCATCTGGGTTTCGTGGCTCCGTCGGCGCCCATCGGAGCCGGAGGCGGTGAATAGCATTGACTACCGCAGAGTCCCTTTGTCCCCGGTGCTCACGAGGACAAAAGCCCGACGCTACCGGACGCCAGCTGGGGGGTTTGTCCAGTGGGGAGGCGGGGTTTACGGCGGTTCTGGATCCCTTCGCGCCGTGCGTCTGTGACGCACCGAACGGACCGCGCTGTCAAAATAAAAGCTCAACCAAACCCAACGTGTGGGATCAATGAGATCAGCGCCTGGTGTGTTTAGGACTCTCCGGCCAACTTGATGACTTCAAATGACTCAAAAGAAATGACACCACTAACTGGACCCCCTTTACCTTCAAGGCTCCGACATCCAATAAATAAATAAAGACTGGAAGTAGATGCCTGCTAGAACAAGTCATTAAAATAACTTGTTCTTATTTCCATAATTCATCCTACCAGATTTGAGAGTTTAAATCTCGTATCTGAAGTCAAATTTCCTCTATAGATCAATTAAGATGTCTGCACTCATTATCAACTCTGTGCTACTTTATCTTTTCTAAATATGAATATGTAATATATTGGGTGAATATTTATGCTTACCCGCCGTGATGTGTTCAGCAACACGCAGCCAGAGTCGTCGGCGTCTGAGGAGGAAGGAAACAAGGAGTTAGCCGATGACGTGACAGCCGTCCTCATCAATCAATATGTGCTCGGACGTACAAAGATGTAACAGACGATATCAACATATCTGATATTTCAGCAGAAAATACGTCATTGGTGAATTTTTTTGGGGAGAGAAATAAACCTTGTTCCCTCACGTTTTCAGCCTCGTCCTCATTGTGACCCAACAGTCTAGAAGCGACCTCAGGGCCCTTAAACTGAGGCCCAATGTCTTTAATCGATGGGGGGAGGGGGGGGCAGGAAATGAGGCGAGACGGAGACGGGGAACGACATGACGTCGACGCTCCGTTGTCTTCAGTTTATGAAACGGTGCACAAGCATTAAATGTTCCGAGCCGAATGCTGAGCTGTGCCTCGAGTTCTGTATTTGCATTCTCACACATGTTCTAATAAAACAAAGACGCATCCCAATAACAACCAGCCGAGAGAAGAGAAGAAGCCCGAGGAACCTTTGTGTCTTCTCCAAGTCGTGGAAACGTGGCGAGGCTGCTAAGGTTTTGATACACGCGTCTGTGGAGGGAGGCGAGCGCGCAGATAAAGTACAAGAAGCCTGGATCCTACAAGGAGGGAAGGACGGGGGGACGGGGGGGGGGCGGGGGGCTTTTGTGTCAGAGCGACATCGCTGAACAAAGAGGTTTGCAGGATTCAGTCCCTGCAGCAGCAGACTCACCAAACGTTACATAACGCCGCTATCGACGTTTACTGCGGGGAGGTGGGGGGGGGGCGTTGTTGGGTTTACCACGGGCTTTCCTCCTCTGCTCCGCGTGATGCTCGCTGTCGGCCCCGTCCGCAAATCAATCCGCGGCCCCCCCCACCCCCCCTAACTCCCCCCCTCAGCCGCGCCGGAGAAAGAAAATCCCTTTTAACAAGCCAATAAGCCGCCAGGGAAAACACCGGGGTGTCGCCATATCGATAACGCAGCCACAAGTGGACATGTGTGAGGGCGGGGGGGGGTCGAATACACCTCGGCCATCATAAAACCCTGCAGGCGGTGCACAGAGAAGGAGACACCACCTCCATGGAGATGAGGGGATGGGGAGGGGGGGGGTTGCACGTGTCGCGGATTGGCCTCATCAAAGCCTCACGGCTCTATTTGCCGTCAGGCTGCAGCCTGCGAGGAGATATTCATGTGTTCATATGCGACGATCGCCGCCTTCCTGCGGCCTCCTCCTTAAAGTAATCCGGGAGCATTTCGCCGCTCAGGGATTAGCGAGCGTTGAAATGTGACTTCATTGGATCAGTGCAGCTCGACAGCTGTTGATTATCGCCGGTCGGCCGCGGGGGTCGCGGGGGGGTCGCGAGGTGGTGACTGAGAATGCCGGAGTTACTGCGTGATGGGAAGAAATCTCAAGTGCTCCTTCTGGCCGAAGCCGAATATTCTTTTCATCGATGTGTTATGAAATATGGAAATAATTGGTTTGGTGGTGTAGAAAGAAATAAAAAAAAAAAATGGAAATTGAATCACCGCAGGTTGTTATTTTTTTTCACTGTCATGATACTGTGAATAAATTTCCCACCTCAAAACTGTGTCTTCTACATTCGACGTGGTTGTTTTATTTCGTCAAGTCAGGATGAAACAGTCGTCTCAAACGAATCACTCAACCTTTCGCACTTCATTTACTGCAGAATGAGGGGACTTTAAATCCTGGGATCGTGTGCCGGTGACTGAAACCGGTGCCTTTATTTCATCGTGACATTCTGGGGCCAACAGCGACCATGAGCCAGCCAGAGGTCAAGGTTTGACCTTGGTGAGATTCCAGTGAGCCAGACGCTGGTCCTTCCTCGGGACTTTTCCACCTCCGCGTTGGGCCAAGTTGATTGAAGTGAAATGGAAGTGAGCCCGGCGCTGGCAGATACATAATCACACAATCAATTCTATTCCTGGAGAGCGTTCGACGGCTTCGCGATAACGTTCTCTGAAGAGGGAAGAATGGATAAGATCGCGCCACGCGGACAACGAGCAACGCGTTTGTACCGGCTGACGCCGTTTGCTTCCATTCTAATCTTCAACACGCACCGGCCATCAATCCCTTCGTTTTATCGTCGCCTGATGCCACAAACGCCACGAAAACCGGAGCAGAATGTTTCGCCGACTCGCAGATACGGAAAGTACAAAATGTAAAGAGATAACAGCAGCACGACTCAGCCGTAGTTAGCGCGCGCTAACTAGCGCTAAGCACAAATCTCAGCTGCTAGAGCTACGACACGATTTTTCAAATATCCTTTAAATTAACCAAAGTTTTGGAAGACTTCGGGCGAAATCTGCATATATGTTAAAATAGGCATGAATTGTTTTGGTTGCTGCTCATGAATTAAAAATCAAAAAATACAATGGAAATGAACCACATAATATGAATGTTCCTTCTTTCTTTTTCTATTTCAGGGCTATTTTTCGTAGGTATGTATAAATGTTTGACGATGCAAAATTGTAAAAAAATAGTAAAAAGAATTATTCAAAGGTGAACCCTTTGGATGAAAACGGCATTCTGGTGGAAAAACTAAAATAAATCTGCTGCACTGCCAGTCTGACCTTGTGTTTTGGACATTAATAAAGAAACAAAATGCTCTTGAAATAACCCAAATGTTGTCTTCCGTAACGAAACGCATGTTTAATACATTGCCATTAACGTCCATCCAACAGGCACGACGTCGTAAAGGTCACGACTGAAGCCCTGCTGGCAGCAGCGCGGCGCTGTGAAGGCTTCCAAAGCATGAGCACGTTCTCACGAAGACGAGTAAACACGCGGAAACACGTGAATTAATTACAACAGACAGATGTTTTTTTTAAATGAGATTCTGATGGGAGCCGCTGTCTCTGGCTCGGATGTACTCACTGAGCTGTTTGCTTTTCCACACCACTGAGCGTTTAGCCCAACAGGATGTGATTAAAAGTCCTGAGTCTTAAATTGATTTGATGCGGTGGACGTATTCCACCGTGGCCTGCTGATGTGGAACAATAAAAACAGGACCAGGATCATTTGTGACCAATTAGAAGCAGCCGACGAGGCTCGGGTCAGTGACCCCTGAGGCCTCCTGCGTTCTAAGGCTTTTGTTGTTTCGTGGTCTCATCGGAGTGGAGGGTCTGAGGACGCGCGAAGGTCCAGCTGCAGAGACCAGAACGACTGTTTGACGGACTTCAAAGGTCAGAATGAAAATTAAAATCTCTGTTTAGAGGTCACGGTGACCTTGGACCACTTGATCCTTTTATCCTTGAGTTTAGGTGCATCATTAAAGCATGTGGGGGCCACAGTGACCTTGACCTTCGGCCTCCAAATCCTGATCAGTTCATCGTTGAGTCCATCTAGGCTGAATACTCAAATAGGAACCCGTCCTGAGCAGAGACCAGTCAGACGGGCTGATGGCAGGACGGGTATTGTGCCATTTTAGGCAGCGTTGGATTGAAGATTTGAATAAGAATTATGAACACAAAAATCATCTTTATGAATTAGTTGTAATTAGTTTATCATTGTCCCCTCGCCCCTTCATCCATGTGCAGCGGCTCATCCTCAGGGCCGAACACAACTCCAGATGGAGTTGTTGTACCTGCGGTCTAATCATTTGGTTTCGGCGTCTCATCTCCGTGCCGGCTCGAGCGCGAACGAGGCCCGAGTGACATGGTCACCCGTCACATTCAGCGGGAGCGACCGTTTCCCCCTGTGGTGAACCCGTGGCTGTTGCCGCGGCAACGGTCACCCGTTGACTCATGGGGTGGTTTCTAGTGGTGAAGTCCCAAAAAAAGAAAAGGAAAATCATCAGCACCTGCAGCCGAGGAGCCGTCCGTCAGGTCCACAGCTGCCGTGGGGGATCTGGATGGACTCCAGAAGACCTCCGCGGAAATCACCTCAAAGTTGTTTTTTTCTTTCTTACTTCTTGCCGCCGCCTCGGGCGCCACCGCGGACACGCCGGCTGCCTCGTGCCGTGATGTAATAACGTCTCCAAAAAGGAGCGGGGGGGGGGGGGAGGGGGGGGACGACCACACGTGCGAAAGGGGCGAAGCGGAAAGCGAGCCGCGCACTGACCTGGCCCGGGGCTGAGCTGGTTGTCGTAGAGGTGGATGTCATCTCCGCAGGCGATCGGCGAGTCCTGTCCCTCCTCTCGGGCCTCGCTGCCCTCCTCCTGCTCCACCTCCCGCTGCTCTGGGGACACAACGGCACAGGGTCACCTCCTGAAACCCCCCCCCCCCCCCCCCTCGCCACGGGAACCTTTCAGCAGACGGCTCGACCCGCGGGACAAATTACGCTCGTGTATTTACAAAACGTATAAAGTATAAAGTATTTCTAGAATATAAAAATGTACAATAACAACATGATAAGAAATAAATCCCATTACAGATTTGGGCTGAAAAGGAAAAAATATTATTTCTGTGGAAGAAATGTTGCTTTTCTTATCTGAGAGTCAATGAAGCGTCTGATTTAGAGGCAAATATTGTTTTAGTGTCACCTGAAGCGTCACCTTTCTAATGTAATGCAGCGAGGCTGAGGGTTAAAAAACAATTTAACGACAGCAAGTTTTTTTAGAAACACATTTACACTCGTTTTCATTATTGATGAATCGTCAAAATGGTTTCCTGTGGTCCTCTGAGGATACGCATCCTGATGTGTCTCGTGTCTCCCCCAGACATGCAGTCTGGGCCCCTGGAAGCAACACCCTGAATGAGAATGAAAGGCACCTGCTCCCGATGCATGGAAGCCGCGAGGGACGTGAAAACCCCCCAGCGGCTCGGGGCGCCGGGCTTGGGATGGAGGGAGGCCGACGGGGGGGCGACTCAGCAGGCTAGACGGGGCCGGTAATGGAACGGGGATTTGTGTTTGTGTGGGAGAGATACAAGCTCTCAAGACACGGAGGCTTGTTGTTAAGATATATCCGGGTCTCTTCTTCGCCCCTCCTTCCCCCTCTCCTACCTCCCCCCCTGGAGAGAGGCACTGTAAATCCAAACCCCCATTTATAGAAGGGGGGGTCCGCAGAGTGTGTTCCGGCGGCTTGGGGGGGTTGGCGTGTTGTTTTTGTTTTTTTTTGTCCAACCACAAAGAGAAGAGAGATGAGATGTGTCAATATAGTACTTTTTTTTTTTTGGCGTTCGGCAATCGTCCCTCAGCACTCGACATTTTTTGAACCGCGCCTCAGACGCCTCGACTTTCAAATCACCGTGAGAGCCGAACGGCGCTCTCCACTTCCACGTCGCAGCGACATGTAGAAGCGTTTACCGCCGGCTCCGTGGAGGCGTTTTCATCGGAGACTTTCTGATTTAGAGTGATTGTCATGAGAATCCTCAGTCAGGCAGTTCTCATTTCTGTGAAGGGCGAAGCAGCAAAATCTTGTTTGAGGAAAGATCTCAGAGCAAACGTGGGTTTCTGTCCTGACGCTTCGTCTCCGGGTGGATTTGTGCGACTTTGGGTCAGTTTGAAGTCCCACAATCCGACTCACTAACTGTCTGTAAAACATCATCCATCAAGGAACTGAAGTCGTTTCCAGTTCAACTGGTTGCTCAAAAGAACAGATCCCTCAATTATGTCCTAAAAAAACAGTATTTTACAGTAAATTCTTCACACAAACAAACATATTTAAACTAAATATGTTTAGTGCGGCTGCTTCTGTCTGACGGAGGACGATGCCACTCGGACGCGACTAGAGAGCGTAACGACCCAGAAGGCCGCGGGGGTCACAGGATCGCTCCCACAATGCACCGCGGGAAACAAACATCCACCCGCTCGCCGCACTTTGATCGCTAACGAACCGACGGCCGATGACGCTTCCTCGCCCACAGCGACGGGACTGCGTTTAACTCTTGGACAGAACGTTGGCTGACAAACGGCGGGCGGTGAGGGGCCGCGGCGCGGGGGAGATAATTGCCTGTGGGGAGACGGGGGAGACGGGGAGGGACCCGACGCAGCCTCGTTCCTGTGCTGCACGTACTAATTTGGGCGCCTCTCGGCGGCTCGGAGGGGATAAAAACCGCCGTTATCAGCAACGTTTATTATTTATATCCGGATGCAGCGGGAATCTATAAGACGTCTTTCAATACTGTACGGAGCAACAAGCAGGAGACTCCGCCCACCCTCCATGGAACATCACACGCCTTCATTCACACGTCTTCCCCGAGTCAGGAGACGCAACGTTTTGCACAATCCGGTTGGAATTCATGTACAATATTTTGTTTTTTTCCAACACGCAAAGATGTGATCAGCACTGAAACGCTCAGCGTGGCCGTGTTGACCTTTCAGGTGTGTTGGTCGATTCCCGATGGAACATTTGAATGTGATTCATTAGAACTAAAGCAAAGCGCCAAACGGTGTGCGTGTGTAAACCTCTGAATTCAACTCACGCTTCGTAAACTGAGCAGACAAAGTGATTTCACAGCACAGCATTTATAAAATCCCATAGAACAGCAGGAAACTTAACAAGAGCACAACGCAAACAAAGAACAGATGTAAACTCGGATGACAAATAGATGAAATGATAAAACAAATAAATGTATGTAAGTACTCAAAAGAATTAAAATGACATTAATAGTGAAATAAAGACGATTGGCTCACACTCACCCATTTCTTGAAAGAAGTAGCCGTTCTTGGACATGCCGGAGGGAGGAGCCTCTGCAGGAGACACACAGGGTCACTGAGGTGAGGCGCTCTGCAGGGGGCCGTCCTCGTTCACACGAGAGTTACTATCGTTATTACACACACTGATTGTTGCTACGAGAGACGGGTCATTATCCTTGTTCGCTTAGTGATAATGCTCGAGATCGAGAGTATTTAAATGGAAGCACATCACGGGTCCAGGAAGTACTTCACAACAGTTAATTCATCCACTCAATTTAGCATCGAGTATCTGCTCCCTGATGAGCACCGAGAAGACGTCGCCCGATGACACATTAGACGCGCCGACGACACTAAAGGACAACGTCCTCCTCACACAACCGAAGGGCTCGAACAAAACCATTAACTTCAACATGACTTAAAAAAAAAGAATCATTTTTGTTTGGGGAGAAAAAAACAAAATGTCTAGAAAAAAAATGAGATCTTTGCGCATTTTGTCCGGCTATTATCAGCAATATACGAAAAGTTTTCCAATAAAATCCGTTTGTATTTTTATTCATATGTGTTCTTCCTGTGAAACCAAACACGAATCTAACTAATATAAACCAATAACACAACAACATTTATTTAGTAAATCAATCTGCAGCTTTTAGTGTCAATGAGCAACCGCTTCATTCCAGCCCCGCCCACTTTTCAGCGGCCCAATTAAATGCGTGGGATTTGATTTGAATCCCTTTTGTAAATGAAGGCCGTGTAACCGGCAGATTAACATTCACTGGGGAAAAGGTCACAGCGCGGGAGATTAAGACAAATATACATTTCAGATCCACTGAAGCAGCCGCGCCGCTCATTAAAATCACGCGATGGCCGAGGAAGGATTTATTTGAAATGCTGTTTTGACCCGTACAAAAAACAAAAAAACACTCGATTGATCATTTGTGTACAACAACGGCTGCTGATTAATCCGTTAATCTGATTAACGGCGTCCGAAGCGGGATCAGTTGCAGGTGTGTACCTGCTCAACCTGTCGCCACGACGACATTCAGAAGCAAAGTGAGCCGTTCAACAACAACAAATACTGCTTCAAACGTTTCCTCCTAATGAGGCCCGAGCTGTCGAAGGCGCCGCCAGTAAGAGCGAGCTCAAAGTGGGCGAGCGAGCAGTTCCACCAGGAGGCGAACAGAAGAGCATCGGCAGCATCCAGGCCACAGGCCACGCCCCCCGCCCTCTCATCACTTCATCACATTACAGGTCGTTTAGCTGACGCTTTGCCCGTGGCGTTTTACATTTTTGCCTGGGGTTCAGAGGGGGGGGGGGGGGGGTCCCGCTGTGAGGGTCCTGGCCCGGTTTTGACAGCGTTTGGAAGCATTTACGGGGAAAAGAGGTGGACGTCCTCGTTTAGGAATTAAAGCTAATCTGGTGAAGAACGCCAAGGCAAACGCCGATGGCTCAGAGAGACGAGGCGGACACGGAGACACGGGGAGGGGGGGGGGGCTTCATAGAGTACGTCCCTCAATGATGCACACAACAAACCTGGATTAAATTCCGATATAGAAGACGGACGTGAAGACCTCTCTCCTCCCGCAAGGAGTCTTTTTGTGACAAGCGTGCAAAAGGAGTACGATGCGATTTTGATTATACAAAATGATGCACGAAGAACAAGAACTGGGGATCTATTTATCTGCACAACAACTACCTTGTTTAATTCACCCGCGTCATTACAGCAGCGTTGGTCTCCATTTTCTTTAAATTTGTGTTTACACCGGCGTTATTTCTAACAAATGAACACCTGCCGGGGTCACTGTCTTTCATTTGATGAAATCCAAACCTACAAACCCCTCTCTTTCTCTCGACTTCTTCAAATATCCAAATCAGCGGGTCTGAACCGCCATGTGAACATTTCTCCTTGTGATGTCAGTCACATAACCCCCCCCCCCCCTCCTACGCGATGCACACGGGTCGATCACGTCTCTGAGCTGCATTGAACAATCCCTCAGAGCGGAATGGGCACAATGGTCATTTCTACATGTACGGCTCCACAAACAAAACAGCCCCGCTCACTTTTGGCATCAGCGTGTGTTCGGGTCCGCCACACATTCTCCCCCCCCGACACACACACACACACCTCAGCTGACATGAAGGTAATACCGTTATCATCATCAATAAACCCCCTTTCAGACACACACAACGCGATGCCTGTTTTACTCGCCAGTCTCACCTCTAAATATACGAGTAAATCCTTGTTTATTTCAACTGGCCGTAACATTTCCACAGTCGCAGGAACTTAACTGCCGCAGCAGCACAAGGTTAAATACATCAAGAGTTTAATGAACCACTGAGCCAGACCATTTTTTAGTTTGTGCGACTGGTTTTGTTCGGCCTGTGAATGACTATTTTCTGTCTCGTCAAGTGGGAGACGAGACAAAAATCTAACTTGTATTCACACCATTTTAAAAGGGCTGATTTTTTAATTAATCTGCCAATTATCTTCAAGATGTCTTTTAGTCTCCAAAATGACACAATATTGAAGATGACGTGTTCAAATTTCCCGTTTTGTAGAGTCCAAAAACTGAAGTTATTTAAAGTTATTTATAATCAGACATGACAAAGAAGCTCACCACAAGTGCAGAAGAAGCTTTAGGGACGTGTCAATCACAAGGTAGCCCCGCCCCTAAAGCAGACTCTGCTCTATTTAACTTTATAATTTACTAAATGAACATCATGCTGTATTAAAGAATACGAGAGCATAAACTCGTGGTTACAATGTTTAGAGTCATTTTCCCGTAGACTTCTATAGGACCAGAGGAGTCGCCCCCTGCTGGTCAGGGGAGGGAATGAGAGCTTAAGGTGCTGCAGGATTGGTTCCATCTGCATGCAGCAACTCAACAGTATCCAGCAACTTTATAATTGAGTAAACAGGAATTAAATCCACTAATTAAACCTCATCTGGCTTTGTAAAATAGGCCATAGAATTCCTAAGATAAATTCATTATAATAAATAATAAATTAAGTTTGTGGAAAAACGTGATCCACTGGAGACGACGCGGTCTGTGAGAGAGCTGAGCGCTGCGTCCTCTCACGCTCCCAACGCCAAACATCACACGCGAGCTACGAGGCTTCGACTGAAACGCATTCTTTCTATTATCTACAAATGTGCCAATCACTGATCAACGAAGGATCAAAATCAAATCAACAGTAATATCATTCATGTCACGTGTGAATAAAGCCTGATTAAATGAAAAGTCTCCGGTGTCCGAGCCGCGGCTTTGACCAACGGGATTATCATCATTGTTATTAAGAGGAAAGGTAAAAAGGACGCTTACATAAAAGCTGTAATCTTCAGTATTCATAATCTGTCTCTGTCTCTTTTCTTTCGCACTCATTTATTCATGTCCAGATCGATGAAAAGTGCAGCGGGAAGGCGAGGAGGCCGGTCGGTGCGTCGGCCGCATGGGCTGCGCCCTCATGCCACCGTCAGACAGCTGATTAGAGACCTCGACACACTTCACGCTCCGATGGTCCTCGTGGAGACGCGCTCATTAGAAGGCATTAACGGGTCGGCCGTGCAATCACATTTCATTCAGCGTCATTTGAATTGTGCAAATTGAGAAATACAGAAATCTAGAAAAGGTACGGGGACACCTGCAGTGAGGGAGCGGAGCACAAAGTAATACTAGACGATCCAGATTAAGGTTAAAGAACAGATGCGTACATAATAATAAATATAAAGATCGATACATGTAGATACACGTGTGTGTGTGTGTGTGTGTGTGCGTTGAACACATTCTGACAAACACAAGTGCACGAGCCACGATGACGTCATAGAGGCTCGTGATGACACGTATGACCTTGACACGTTTCAAGGTCATACCGATGCTTCTTCTTCTTCTTTCAGCCGAGCGTGTTGAGGTCATCTAATCATTTATTGATTGTTTCAAAATGGACCTCAAGTCCATTTTGAATTGTTGAGGATTATGATTTAAGTCTTTTGTTAATCTCATATTTTACCATCAACTTAAATATCAATGAATCGATGAACTGCCTTTGGTTTTAGGTTTTACTATCTTAGAATAAAAGATCGTTCCTATGAAATTAAAATAGAACTTTAGGTTTGGTAAGAACATGTTGGCTGCACATTTATTCATTCATTCATTCATTCTGGAGCCAAATGAGATGATGAATAATAATGTGAGGGACAGAACAGAAAATTACATCTAGTTTGTGCAGATTGCAAACTAATTTATTTTTGCTGACCAGGCATTTTTTTGCTGTCAAGTGCTTTTTGGTGCTTTTTCCTGTGCGTGTATTTCAGTTTGTTTGCATGAACACGGGTTTAGTGATTCGCCGTACGAATGAACCACGTGATTATCTCTCTACGTCACGGCCGTATCGTGTTCTTGTTCTTGAAAGCTGAACGTAGGGCAGACACAAACGCTGTTGGGGGCGGAGCCTGTTGGCTCACATGGCTACTGCCCCCCCACCACCACATCGGGTAATGCCCGCCCATTACCTCATTTTAAGTATGTGCAAACAGCGCGGGAGCCCCGCGGCGCCGCTTGCTCGCCCTCGGGCGCTTCCCTCTCTCTTGTTTAAAAGGCGCACGATGCTTTTGTTTTGATGCTGTATTCCGGGCCGGGTTGTCGGTGTTGCCATTAGCGACGCGTTCTGGCGCGGTTCTCTAGCTGCTGTTGCATCCAGCGTTTAATCGGTGACCAACGAAGACCTCGACTCTGCTCCCGAACGGCCTCTGGCTGGCGTGTTTCGTGTAAACACGAAAGCTCTCTGAATACACGCACGCGTCCCGATACGACCTGCAAAGAGGACAAAGTTTCTGCTTGGTCTGTGTTGGACGTGTTCCTGAGGTGAGGATTAAACCCCTCTTGAAGATATTTATTCATAATCGGTTATCGGATCCTTATTGATTTTTAGGATTCAACCTAACTGAGAAAAAGAAAAGAGAATCAAAGAGAGATGTGTGATAACCTTCTGCAGAAAAGAGGAAGCTTTCTACTTGCAGGAAGGAAGTCGGAACTGGTTAGAACTGTGTGTGTGTGTGTGTGTGTGTGTGTGTGTGTGTGTGTGTGTAAATATCTGTCAATCAGCCGAGTTCTCGTGTCACAAAACCACAAGCAAGGCCGCATCTGCTGCGCTCATCACCCGACATGACGAACTCACTTCTCGTTAAACACAAACCGCCGCCTGCTACCAGCGATCTGCAGCGAAAAAACAAAATGGCTTTTTAAAAGATGGCCGACGGCTGCTCGCTGCCGTCGTAGGTCTTCAGCCGGAGGGACGCAGCGAGTCAGCTGATCGACGTCTCTCCAATATGCTTTTCACGCTGCACGAGGAAGTCGTGAGATGAACAACGCCGCTCAGCTGCGCTCTCGGGAGACGTTTCGCTCTGAAGGACTAAAAGGGTCGATGGGTCAGAAGGAGGTGAAAAGCATATTCGGTCGACTTCGTGTGTCAACTCGGGGCACAAAGGCTGGTGGGTGAAACTTAAGTTTCGATGACCAGAAGCTCGATGCTGCTGCACGTTTTCTGCAGAGACACAGAATCAGCTGGCAAACAAAGGCCATCCCCTCTAATCCCCTTGAAAGCCAGAAGTTTAGAGAGGTATAAATATATTTATGTATGTATGCACACCAGCAAACACTAATATGGAGCAGTAAGTTTCCCTCTCACGAGCGTTATTACAGGAAATGTCGTTGAAATTGACATAATTATGATGTGAATTCTGGACTCACAGTGAACTTCGAGCAAACAGAATTCAGATTGACGTTTGTGCACAAATGCGTTGAGAGGAAGGGACAGACAAACCGAGCGGTCTGTCCCGGGGACGGAGGCAGGAGAAAGTGACTATATTGAGCCGAGGACGATCAGAGAAAAATCCTCATGCGTCCTACGAGCGGCGTCATTGGAGACTCACTGGCTGCCGTAGGACAGACGTCGCCTTAGAAACGCTGGTTATTCAAATGATCCCAGGCAGCAGGAGGTATTCGCCCTCTGGCGTGCACACGAACCAAACCAACCTCCCTTCCCCGGTGCGTGCTGGACTATCGCAGATGCCCCCCCGGCCCCCCAGGAGGGACAAAGCCCTGGAATGTAATGGAGACGTGAGGCTGGGAGTCTGAAGTGAAGAGATCAATGTCCCCGCCGCGTCCGTCGGGGGATCTACGAGGCCTCGGTCCCCTCTGGAGCCGTGGTCGCTGAGGAGGCCCCATGGTCTCCACGGTCTCCACGGTCCCCTTTTTAAGAACTTCAGTCGGCCTGCCGCCTCAGCGTTACCTAATCTCCGGTCCAAACCAGGCTGAAGACATTCTCTCTGGAGGTTCTGCAACTTCAACGGCAGCACATGAGGTTTGGATCGGAGAGGACTCTTGCTTCACTGCAGCTACTTAACTGGACGTCTCCGATCGTCTTCGTTACGACTGTAGCCCCCTCGCATTGGGGTGTGGGGGGGGGGGGGGGGCATCCACATAACGGCCTGCTGGTGACCCACTAGGTGGAGCCTCTCCAATCTGGAGGCGGACGGTGCGGATTGCTGAGCCTGAGCGTCTCGCTGCAGCCGCTCGCGGCTCCGCCAGGACGAGTCCTTCGCGGTCCCTCACCGCGTCCGCTGAGATCCGCTTCCTTTGAAGCCGAGTGCTGAACGCCGCCCAGGACGATACGAACGCCATCGTGGCCAAAAGAACTGTGATTCATGTCTCCAATATAATAAACTTCCCCAGAAGTCTGTTTTCGTTGACATCCTATTGAGTGAAAAACAATGAACAATAAGCATTATGAGGCCGTCCTGCAAAGGATGAATAAATACAAATACTGGTTGTGAGTCTCGTTCGCCATACTTGATAATTGGTGCTAAATCAGTGACCTTTGTTATCAATATTCCCTCACAACAAGGCAACAACAAAGCTCAGTCATACTAATGACGTCATTTAAAGGCTCCATTCTTGGACGACAGCAGCTGGAAACTGAGACACAGACGGATCAATTTCAGAATCCAGCGGTCGATAAAATCTCACCTTCCCAGAGGTGCAACATTTACTGTTCAAACTGGAGCAATCAACATCACACGAAGAAGTTAAACTTATTTCGAGGACACTTTCTCCGAGCCAAACCCATTTGAGAAGGTCAGACATGTTCTGAATGACGAACTGATCCTTTGTACGGAGCAGACATGCTCCAAATGAATGTAGTAAAGAAGTACAGAAAATCGCTAAACATCCTCCACTTCCCGCTGGTTCACTGCAAATAATCGATTATCTTTGTTCCGTTGCCCGCAGGACAAAAGCAGAGACGGCGACGACCTCAACCGACGGCCATTTCTCCCCATTTCGTTCTGCCAACTGAGCTCCTCGTGAACAGGACGAGCGTGGACGAGGAGCTGAGGCCACTTTGTCTGATGCACGAAAACCTTGGAAGTGGAATGAGTCACACGGGCAGAAACCGATGTGCGTCCTTCGCTCGTCTTATTGACACGGAGGAGCGAATCCTCCACAAAAACAACACAAACTCAAAGACGGCAAAAGCGCGTGTAGCTTCCGCCGCTTAAGGCGGGCCGGGGCGCGACGGGCGGCGTCCCCCGGGCCGCTGTCTGACGCTGAGGATGCCTGGCGAGCAGGTGGACTGGAGCGTGTGTGTGTGTGTGTGTGTGTGTGTGCGCATGGATCGACACCGCCACTCACTGACCATCGTTATCAGACGGCATTCAGAATAACGACGCAACCGATGATCAGTAATCAGCCGCACGGAGTCACGCTGTGATGAAAACAGGCCGCAGCCAATCGATCCTCACTGGGTTCAACTTCCTGTTGCTGAAGAAGAACGTGTCCTCAGAGTCCTTCATCTGGACCTGCTGTCCAATGGGAGACGTCTGTGTCCCCCCCCCCCCTTATATTCTCACACAGTCCCATATGGGCTGATGCTCTGTGTGTGTGTTCATAAGTGAACCAACCAGGCAAAGACACAACACACACACACACAAGCCAAACGCTCAGAGAAATTGGCTGCCTCGCATTTCATCCAAGGGGGGAGTTGGGGGGAGAGGGGGGGGGGGGTGTTGGGGGATTCCTGCTAATTGCTTCCACATTCCCCTCGTCCTCGGGCTGGATTCAACCCAGGCCACCACCTCCTGCTCCGCTGTTCACCTCCACCCGGCCTTCTACTGCCCCCCCTCCCACCCGTAACCCCCCGCCTCCCACGTGAGGGGTATATTGGGCATATTCGGACCGTATGTGGAAGCGAGTGACATGCACGAGGATGTGACCTTTCAAATGAGATCACATTAAACATTTTACGGCCATTTTAATCAAATTTCCGTGTATGTTGCTGCTTAACATGGAAGGGAGGAGGGGGGGAGGGGAAGGGGGGAGGTGGGGGGGGGGGGCTTAAGCCCTCGCTTGGCTCCTCTAGTCCTCCACCTGAGACGGTCTTTGTCTCCACAGCGGGTGAGCTCCTTCTGCCCTCCAACGTCACTCGGGGCGGATACACACATGAGAGCGAGGAGTACGCACGGCGAGGACGCGCACGGGCGCCATGA